TTAAGAAATCATAAAATTTAATACAAAAATGGAATCAAGAAATGTTATGTAAATTTTTTTTTCCTACTTTAGTTATTTTGGAGATACTTTGAGATAAAATACGAATGAAGTTTCATATTATATTGTTCAGATATGTTAATGTTAGTTATTTGAAGAATGAATGTTGTAAATGAAAACGAAGATACTAATAACATCATGGGACTATTTCTTAGTCTTATGATGTCATATTTTTCATGAAATCATTCTGAACAATGTGAAGTACATTATGTCAGGTTTGTTATAACTTCTTATTCTGATTAGAACACTTAGAATGTATACCTGATATTGGATATCGTACAAAAAAAGCATCACTTCGTAAATCACACGAACATTTTTTGTGGTCGTATGATACAGTTGATTTTATATCATGTTAAGATTAGTGTTTAAAGCTTGAATATTTTTTTTAATGAATAAATTCTTTGATACCTAAAGGTTGTATCAATGAATGCACTTGATCAATTTTTAACATATTTTGAAAATCTTTAAATTTTTTTTGTTGATCCTTCAGTTTAAATAAGAAGTTTGAATTGATGGCAATTGTTCAACTTTTGATGAAAAAAATTAATTTTCTTGGATTGATGTTGAATATAGATTGGTAATTTGAAATCTTTGCATATAAATTTAGCTCCATAATTACAACAATAGTCAACAGTTTGATACTTATTGTATATTATGATATGAAAAATTTATAATTTGCAATAAATCTAAAAGATATATATTGGGATAAAGATAAAATATATAAAGTTATACCCTAATTGAAATTTATGATGTGATATAAATGAAAGATGTGCGATAAAAAAGTCTTCATGAAATATTTTAACACAGAAACAAAATATGCATTAACGAAAGTGAAATATGAATAGTACATGGTATAAAAATTTAATACATTTGATATTAATCATAATTAAGAGTTGTAATAACTCCATGAGCATAAAGGAGACAAAATAAAAAATGGTATTGTATATTGACATCATCCAATCATTGTTTTATCTTATATAGGATATTAATGTTGCTCTCAAAAAAATGACAAAATTTATTTGATTCTTTAATGTCATTGGGATTTATACTCTTTCGGTTCATGATTTCAAAAAGATACATCCTTGCGATGTGAATGAGGATTGTAGAGGGTGGAATATTATTCTTACATGTATCGTTAAGGAAATATGATATTTATTTCAAGGAATATCAAAAATCATACACTTTTCTCTTCGACAGAATTAGGTTCTTATCAGGTTACTTGAATACTTAAAATATTAGTACAGACTACTTTCTCTATAATTGGATCTGTTCTTCTTATCAAAGTACAAAAAAGTCTCTTAGCCTCTCTCTGTGTGATTATGAAATCTTACATGCGTTCCATTCTTCGCTCCTTTGTGGTACAAAAAATCATACAAACAGTTAAATCTGTTTGGTTTGTGAGGCTCCATTTGGCACTTGCCCAACCACCCGATTGTTTTGCCGAATCTGGATAAGAAGTTCAAAAAACCACACGTTGAACCAATTGAATACCCACTCCCTTGTACAATCATAATTGTTTCATGAACATGATACATTCATTCCCCCACCTTTTCTTGAATGGCTTTTACACAATATTCACACTCTTGAATACGAGTCCATAAATCGGAACAAGAGGTACAATGGGGTGTGACCACCAAGAACGTGATACTCTCCAGGAAGGTCTAAGTTGATAATCGCAAATCATGGGAGGAAATTACTTGATGGTACCCGGGAACATTTGATGGTACCCAACAGGTTTCATTTTACTAGATAGACCCAATCTAGTAAACTGCCCTGCACCCACACTGTCAACGATGTTCCAGTACCATTGGGGGTTATTTTGAGTAGAAAGATAAAATCACAGTTCACACTCATGGTGCTCGTGGTTTTCTTAGACATGGCTGCGAAGTGGCCAAAATACTCTGGCCCGAAAGTGGCGGACACTCCTCACTCTACAGAGCAAATCATTAGGTTATAAGAACATAGTTGACGGTGGTGGAAGTCGAATGGGGTAAATTGAAACCTGTTGGATAAGTTCAAGAGGGTTGAATTTCCAAGGGTCCCATCAAGTAATTTACTCCAAATACTGGACAAAGAATATGCGAATGTTTAGCAACTGTTTAAAACGTGCATGTCCGTCACCAAGGACATGCTCTAGAACATATAGTGTCGCTATTGAATGGTTAATCAAGTGACAATCGAAGCCTAAATTCAGATACACCTTCATTTATTAACGTGCTTAGAAAATATTACCAAACCTGTAACACTAATTAACGCAAGTCCATATCCACGTTTTCCCGGGGAAGTGTTATAGGTTCCGCGAGAGGTACCCATCAGTCGATTGAATATTGGTGGAATCTTCCATTTCAAAACCTTTTCGAAGCAGAGGTGTTTTGAAGAGTTTGTCTCTTGATTGGCTACTCCATAAAGATTCAAATTTGGACCCACGTAAACAAGTGTCTGGGCAATGAAAATATTGGAAAACATTCCAATCCTATAGGATTTTTTCAATGAGCTGTTTGGAAAGCAAATATACTGTATAGACACCCTTCAAGAGTTTCGAGCAAGCTCATATAAGTTTGGATTATGTTCCAGGTGTCATCACGTCTTCTGGAATAGCCGTATCTAGTCCAGGACTGTACGTACAGTCGTAGACAGTCGAAGGTCGGGCTATCATGACTATTATCCAGAACATATCTGAATTAATCGTACAGCTTAGGCTAGACCACAGAACTGACCGGGTCGGGGGATAATAATACGAGTATGCGAAAATATATATACAATACTGTACATCAAGGTCGCACTCGACGCAATTATGTCATGTCCTGAAGAATCATATTTGTCCTGGTCGTGTCGACCAAGGGCTAGAGAACAGAATAGAAACAAAAAACTCAAAAACCTGATGATAGGTCTAAAGCACTCATGCGCCTTGTCCCCGACCTCCGGTCTCGTAGCCCATTGGCCGGTCGCCGCAAAGAGCCTCGGGGAGGTGGCGCGGGAGCGTGGGCGGGAGCTGGATGCGTACAGCACTCTGGGCGAAGATCGCAGCGCTGCATGGGCCGCGGGATGGAGACGAGGTGGATGTCGGGCTATGGAGGTGGTGGAGGGTGTGCATGGACCCAAGGCTACAGACGCTCCACGCACGCCATGCAGACCAGCCTACGACCTCCACCTAGCGTAGGGTAGGGTAGGGTAGGGTAGGGTAGGGTAGGGGATGGGCGGGGCCGGGCCAGGACGAGTCTGCTGCGTTAGGGCAGTTAGCGATGTCAGGAGATTGTGAGCAGTACGTGAGGACCTCGTTGTGGAGGCGACGAGGACATCGGACGACGTCGACGGTGAGTTGAAGGCGTCAGAAGGTCGTGTCAGGCGCGGTGCTGGAGAGATGAGGCGAGAGGAGAGGAGAGGAGGGGAGTGGAGTGTCGATGCTTTGGTTGTGACATTTGGTTGCTCGAGTGTATTGTGAATCCCGTGGTGGTTGTTATGATCGTCAACTGGAGTCACTTAAGTGGTGTATCCGGTGTTGTCACACGTCCGCGTTTAGTCGACAAAATCTAATCTTACCTGTCCGGGAAAGAATGTCTTCTGACTCCGCGTTGGGATTCGCATCCGGTTGGTTTGTTCAGCAACTCCAGATGTGATATTAAGACCACCCTCATTGTGCCTCGCCATTACGTTGCGTTACGAACAAGATGAATGAGGACTTTGTCTTGGGTAGTGCAGTAACGGCGCGGCGGAGTAGGGCTCCAGTCATTTTCCATGGCAATTGTGCCGGACTCGGGAGTCACTGATGTTAACGAGGAAATGAACGCCCTGGACATTTGATTCGGAGGAACGTAAAGACAGCAGGGTAGTATGTCCGAAATGTAAAGCTCGCAGTTAGATGTACGTAACGCAGGCGAGCACGCCATGTTCTTTGTTCTGGACTCTCTCGAACTCCTTGTGTCTGATGCTACTTCAAATGGACCACGCGCGTTCGCAATACCAGTTTTGACCCGCGGGGTTCGGTGGCCTTGTCTTGGACAAAGTGATCTGATGCTATATGTGGGCTACGAGTTGGCAATCTTGATATTGTACCGAGTTCAGCTGTCGATACTTACGCGAATTCGCTGTCATTTCCGTTGAGTGCTCTCTTGTCCATCGCTCGTTTGGAGGGCGTGGACTCTAATTACACGTTAACTCAGCTGATCGATTTGAAGCTGGACTGATAAATGTTCTAAACCCGCACAGCTTGAGCTACTAAGACACTTTAAACGAGAGGCAAGACAGCATTATCATAGTAAGAGTCTTAAGTGTTCACAACCGTTTAGTACCATCAAATAATGTCTACGCTGTTCATAGAGGCACTGACAGGAGCAGAGACCTTCGCAGTGCTGGACCACCACAAGAAAATCAAGACACGCAGTGGAAAGCATGTGTGAGAGATACAATACATGTTACAGTATCTGGCAGCTGTTGACGTCCAGGAAAAGCGTGGCCATATGTGAGAAGTTGCTGACGATGCCCCGTGAGCTCTAAACTGGCGAGAGCAGTCATGCCGTTGGTCTGGCCGCGACGCTAGAAAGTTGGCGCCGAGGTTTTCCAGAGTCCAAGACAGATAGATGCATATACAGTCTTCTTGAGTTTCACCGGAGACAATGAGAGACAGAGAGAGAGAAAAAAAAGAAAAAAGAGAGGAAGAACAAGAATTCTGAGCACTCCACGTGAGGAACTAGGATTTTGAGCACTTCACGTGAGGAACTATTCATTGGCTGATTGCCATCGTGTTTTCTCATTAACAGAAGCACGTAAAGATATTGATTCCTGGCTTTTAGGCATTAAGTTTTGAGGACAACAAAGATCACTTTGAGATATGAGAGAACGAATGTGTTGAAGTAAGACCAACACTTGCTAGATGTCGTACCAATGAGGAATGAGGAGAGTAATATGATTACATGGATACTTAATTAGTAGTACGAATCTTTGGGCATAAGAAGCTTTCAAGGTGGACACTTTGACTTGATTGTACGGAGAGACGCAGTATCCAACTGGAGAGGGTCTGGACGCTGCTAGTGACAGTCTTTCTATTCATCATTTCCGCTGAAGGCCTAGACTAGGACTATCATTGACCAGAGTTCTGAAATTTGAATCATCACAAAAATGACAGGAAGAGATAAGAAGTTGACTTTAAATCAAGCGACTCGACGTCAGATTGAGTCTCCTGAAGCTGACTCGCCGAGGCCAAAGTGGAGCATCCGCAACATCCATCGAACTTACAACAAAGGACCCCCGGAGTTACGGAGAACGACTTCGACTTCCGAAATATGTGCGAGAGTGGTGACTAGCGTTGCCAATTGCAAACCACCAGGTGCATATGATGTCATTGAACAACACCACGAGATGGTAGACATGAGAATTGGCGGTAGCAGTAATGAAGTACCAGCTTCTTCAAAGAGATCTCAAGATAAAGGACCTGACACAGTGAACAGACTTATGGATCAGTCTTCGACACAAGCCAATGTATCGAAATCCACGACAAAATCGGGCGTCAAAAGTACGAGTACAACGAAGAGGAAGAGTCGTCGACCAGTGTATGATCTTGTCATTCGGAATTTAACATACAAGGTTCGTGGAATTCTTTGATGTCCTACCTTCGCAGCGACTATTTTTGTGACTAGTCGAAAGTGGGTGCTATGTCAGCCTTTTGTTAAATCTTGTGTTTCATTTCGAGATTCTCTGTATATTCTCTCATCAGTGGTGAGCTTGGACGTGAAGACGCTACACGTTGGGTTTGTTCAGAGTTCAGAAACTTCTAGGGGCTGAATACAAGATTGCTTGTGCCTTTAACTCGGTGAACAAGTCTAAGCCTAGACCCGCAATTATGCACTTGACGATGTGAAATCTGATTGTTACCTGTGCATTTTTTTTATTCTAATAACAGAAGTTTCAGAACAATATACCCATTATCTGGCTGCTGACTCTTGCATACATTTCCAGGTGAACGTACGCGTGAGTGCCAAGGAGGTTAAGCAAAAGACACTGCTCCACAACGTGACCGCGAAGGCTAGCAACAGCGAAATTCTTGCCATCATCGGTCGGTCAGGCTCATCCAAGACAACGCTTCTAGATGCCCTCGCAGGACACATCAATTCGAGGAGTCTTGAAGGGTCGATGCTGGTGAATGGGATTAAAGTGGACGCTGGACTGAAATCAATTTCGGGCTATGTGATGCAAGAAGATGCTTTGTTTCCTATGCTCACCACCGAGGAGACACTCATGTTCAGTGCCAAATTGAGGCTTCCGTCCAGAAGTAACGCTAAAAGTAAACGAGAGAGGGTGCAGGCTCTAATCGAGGAACTGGGTCTCACATCGTGCTCACAAACTCGCGTCGGCAATGAGAAGGTATGTCAGGACGGGTATGCATTTGGAGAAGTCTAATAAGTAAAACTGTGCTACTAAATTTCGTTGTCCTCCCGCAATGTCAGAAGTCAACATCCTTACAGCTGGGCACAGGGTGTGTTGCCCGCCGTAGAGAGTTGGATGTCTACGTCATCCTCGTTTCTCTGTTGTTTGCATTTGAGAAATAGTCGGATGAACGCACCTGGAGGCCATTAGCAAGATGCTCGAGAGTTATGGATATCCATCACTGGTTTGTATAACACTGTGCACTGGTAGTGATTTAACACGCATAAACATCATAAAACACGTACGTAAAATTTATAACATGCATTGAACGTTGGCAGATTCGAGGACTTTCTGGGGGCGAGCGAAGGCGTCTATCCATTGGAGTTGACGTCATACACGACCCACCAGTGCTTCTCTTGGATGAACCCACTTCCGGCCTCGACAGCACCTCAGCTTTGCAGGTCATGGAAACTCTATGCAAACTCGCTGTTCGACGAAGACACACAATAGTGTTGACCGTTCATCAGCCAAGCTTTCGTATACTGGACCTGATTCACAACACTTTGGTACTAGCAAGAGGTCACGTAGTCTATCATGGACCAGTTTCGGGCATGGTGGATCACTTCAATGCCCTCGATCGTCCCATGCCGGAGCATGTGAGTACATACCAAACCGCCTCACCGATTGCCAGGTTTTGAGTTTATAACTCAGAGTTCAAGATGACGCGAAGATCAGATACTAGGATGCATGTGATTGTCGAATACGTCAATTTTTGCATACACCGCCGCCCTCTTCTGCTTAGGACTCACCGTACATGCTTTATTTGCCGTACTACGAATGGACTGCACTTCCTTATGGAGATTCCGTGAACCCATACCTGATAGTAAGCAAAAATTGCATCACGCAGGTGAATGTGGTCGAGTTTGTGCTCGATACGATCGCTGAATTTGAGAGCAAACCTGAAGGTCTTCAACCGCTAATAACCTTGCAGGTACAAAAAATTGTTGAAATCTTTTCCTCAGATACGTACTCGAATGCCTGATTTGAAAGAACCGTTGGGAACCCATAGTCTCCTATATGGATTGGTCTGAGTCATTCGTCGTCAGGGCTGTAGTATACAGTACGTGCCACAGTGAATACTAAAGTGAGCTGCGTGATTCACTCTAGTCGAGTTTTGATCCAGTATATCGCTTACTACGATCTATGCATCTGGTTGACTGAAAATTACGCAGAAAGAAAGAGGATCTCATGACCTGGACAGTGAACCAAGTATCAATGATTCAAGACACCATCATCACCTTCATCGTCTGAGGCGTAGGCGCAAGTTTGCAAATTCCTTTGCCTCCGAGCTGTGGGTGCTTTCGCAAAGAAATTTCTACAACATCTTCAGAACTCACACTCTATTTCTCACTCGAGTTGGATTGACGGTAAATTCTTTCCATCCACATTTGCTGGTCTCTTGACCTCTACCTGATGAGCCAGATTTTCATATACACTACTCACATACATGGAATGTGCTTATTTTCAAAAATAGTGTCTTTCATGTGATCGAAGAATTTGATTGAATGTAAACAATAGAACAAATCAATAACGTAAGGATTTAGAGCAAGTTCAATGTCATTGCTAGATAACTTTTCCTGCTGCTTGAAATATTTGCAAGACGTCAGGATTTTGTAAACGACTATAAGGTTATGTCGCATGTTCGTTGATTGGAGCTTTTGAATTAGATCGTTGTGTAATCCCTTCGTGACGTCGTGGACTTTTAACCTGATTTAGACCTGATATTGGTCCTTGTAAGTTTCAAAAGGATGAACTCTGACCATTGAATTAACTAAGATGTCAAGTGCATCAAGTAGAATGGTTATACGTAAAGTTTGTAATGTTCGTATTGAAAACGCATTCATCGTTTACTGACTGGAAATGTCGATCATATGAATCCTGGCTGGTGATTGCAGATCCTCACGAGCTTGATTTTGGTTTCTCTGTTCTTTAAAAGCCCGATTGCTGAGAAGGGAATCCAGCAACGACAAACATTTATCATATTCACTGTGGCCATTCTGGTTTTCACGTCCACGGAAGCTCTACCCATATTTTTATTGGAAAGGCAGATATTTATCAGAGAGAACTCAAGAGGAGCATACCGAACATCGTCCTATGCAGTAGCTCATTCTTTAGTGGTGCTCCCGTTCCTATTATTCTTAGCGATCCTCTGCACTTGCCTGTCTTATTTTGCAGTGGGACTGGTTTTCAAAGCCAGTGCTGTGCTGTTCTTCATCCTGATCATCTTCCTCGTGCTAAGTATGTCCAATGCTTTCGTTACTTGCGTGAGTGCTGTCGCTCCCAATTTCACTGTTGCTCTTGCAGTGGTGGGAGGCGTATCGGCTTACATGTTTCTCTTCTCCGGCTTCTTCATGAACAGGTGAGATTCTTGTTTCTCACAAGCGCTTCATGTTTTATGTTTAATATGAGGTATGAAGTCAGTTGAGTTAGAAGATTTCCAAGCGAGAATGGCTTAGCGTCGATCTCAAACAGCGTAAAGATCACGATTTTTTCACAAACCGGAAGATTTACTCATGGTTACATCCTCAGGCCAAATTGGCCTGCAGCCCTTTACAATCTTTACGGAAAGTTTCTCTGCTACCGCTTGACAGCTTAGCTGAGCAATGGCCTTCGATGCGACCAACAGAAGAGGTTGAGGACCTGAATTTAAAAGCGAAGATCTTAAAAACGAACCCATAAATTGTTTTTGCCATACTAATTGGTTCTCCCGACCCATACTTCGGTATCCAAGTCGCGGACTTCGAATACTCGAAGCGGTATTTACTCTTTTAACATGAAATGGATCACGAGTGTTTCACTTTATGTTATTATTCAACGTTGTGATGTCCTTGCTCTCTCATATTCGTTGTATATCTGATTAAAATCTACAGGCGAGAAATTCCTTGGTACTGGCTGTGGCTGCACTACATTTCATTGTTCAAGTACTCCTACGAATCTCTCGTAGCCAACGAGTTGAAGCATAGGCCAGGGACTTTGTGGTATGGAGACATCAGTTCTGAAGATATTATGGACAAACTACTAGGGGGGAATGTTAATCAAGTGCTGAACATTTTCATTATGGTGATTTTCGTGGTGGCTTACCGACTGATCTTCTATACAGCTCTGCGCTTCTACACCAAGAGCGTTAGGAGATGATGGCAAAGTCTTGTGCAGACATGTCGATTACTTGCAGACAAATCCTTCATTCTTTTGACTCCACAGACCAATATGTAGACGTGCCAGATCCCTTTTTTCGGCCCAACAAGGATGCGATGTGAAGGGAGAACTGGTCATGTAAATTTGACTTATTGGATTGCGAGTCTTACAGTCATCCTCGAGAATCAATAAATATAACCTGCCACGCTGAAATTTCAACTCCCAGACTCCAAAGGAGGATGAAATGGCTGCTATGAAACTCGCAAGACATCATCGACCTTCCAGGGCGATTATTACTTTACACTATACTCAGGCTGTCTATAATTACTAGAGATCACGAATGAATTTGTTTTGTACAGAGTTACTACTTACTACTTGCTCTCGAAAATGCATCTGCAAGCAGTATTTTTTCATGTCCAATCCATCTGAAATCATATGGATCAAAATGAGAACGTCCTGTCGAGAATTTCAGCTGTCGAAGAACAGAAGTTAAATAGGAGAAACAGATCTACCTTGATAATCTGCAGGAACACGTCGGAGAGTGCACAGGTAATATCTCGTTTGCATGATAATGAGAGTAGTTCCAGCGTTTCTGAGAATGTTCGTTGACGTATAGAAGTAAAAGCTGTAAACCCCTGTCGATCAGGTCTGAGCTGCCGCCGTTGATTCTGAAGAAATATCTGTGTCCATTACTGGAAAATACTGAGCGGAGAAGTACGTAAATCGTTGACATTGCAGACAGCGTGTAAGAGATGTAAAATTGCCAGCAACCAGTTTACAAATGTAGGGCCCGTCGATCGAACCATCAGGAATTTGGGACTCCTGCTACATCGAGTCGACTTTGAGTCTTCCCGATAATCTATGTTATATATGCTTTCAAGTACGTAGCCGGCCTCAAGTCTTCCCGTTTGAGGGAGCCTCTTTATCACCCTGAGATGAGAGTGAAGGAAAAAGAATTGGAACAAGTTTATAAGCGGACGAGAAAAGCTGAACATTTAGTACCGTAGAAGCATTGGGGAAGTAATATTAGGTATTAGAAAGACTTCCGGTCCAGGGAACTACTGGATTAGAGTACTGTACATTGTCCATATCAATGCGAATAGAGAGAAGTGAAGAAGAGGTCACCTTTATCAACGATAGGACAGGATATTGAACCTATAAGTCCAGTCTCTTCGCACACAATTAATGGAAGTCCATAGATAGGATTCCCGAGACAGGACGTCAGGATCTCATATGAATCAGGATCAGTTATGAATAGGACTCTAAAAATTAGCATTAGCATTCTAAAAATAGATGCATAATATCATTAATTTCAAATCTATTTAATGCCTAATATCTAAATTATTTTTCGAGTAGTTTCTAAAAGAAAGAATTCCAAATTGTTATGCAGCAAAATGAATGTACTAGCAGATTTCGTCGATAAATTGTGTTCATTGTTTCCAAATATAACACTTGTTGGGAAACTTTTCAATGTTGAAATTTAAAAAAAATAATTTTAACAGGTCATTTATTGATTTTTCTCTATAAATATTTCTCCAATGTAATTAAGATGATATGTTATGTACGTTGAAACAATAAAACAAGGAGATAATATTTTCTGAGAGAATTATTGCTTAAGATATATACATGAATCATTCTTGTGATTGTACTTAAGTTGGCTGATATGTTTGTTACGATAGCTCATAGAGACTGAAAAATTAAGAATCATTAAGATAATGGTGATTATACACTATCAAAATGTTTATCAGAAAAGTTCATGTAGTGGATCGAGCTGAACCCCCGAACTTGGGATTTGGGCAAATAGGAAACAAATAGAGACACCCGCCTGAATCTATCATAAACAAGGGGTTGAAATAAATTTATTTAGATATGAAATTCTTTGTCTTATTTTTGTGAGAATTTTTGGTTGAATTTGATAAAATAAGTTTCGCTTAGAATTTTTTTTCTATAAAATCTTGTTAAAATTAAATCACTACTCTGTAAAATTGAATTAAAATCGATAGAATGTTAGTCTTAGGTAATTTTTTTTAAATGATACCTAATCCTACCTAATTTCATTAGGGATATGTGCCTAACATGCTTAGATTAGACACATGACTAATCTAAGAGGCCTAGTTATGACACAAAAGACTCGGTGTTACCTTGCAAGGTAATTAACACGAAGTTTTGAATCAAGGCAAATATTGTCCTCGTTACACCTCAGGACTCTGTTAGAGTTTCTTGTTGATTACCATTGTACCTCGAGAGTTCTTGCGCTTTACGACATTTATAGACACTTGAGTTTTGGTTGCTGCCTGTATCACATTTTGGAGTCTAGACGTTGGTTAAGTCCAATCAACCAATTTGGCCTCCAGTCTTCACAGCTAGTTTCCATACACAATCATCTATTAGAATCATCAACTCTTTTTTTGCTTCTGAGAAGTACTAAAGGTTTCAATGATTTCATTGAAAGTAAAATTTACGTCTTCACCATCAGACGAAATTAAATTAAAGGTTTGTAATAAACTTTAGACAGTTTCTATCATGTTCACTGCATAGCTTGTAGTGATTTCCTGTTAAAATTTTGGATATCATCGAAACATGTTCCGTGTGTTGAGGAAAACGCCTTTATTTTCTAACAATGGTATAGATACAAATGTTTACACAACAGACACAAATTTTATAATAATTCGGAAAAAGAATTCATATTTTAGATATTGAGTTTTAATTAATTTTGATACGCATTACATTTGGAATGAAGTAATTTCAAATGACTGAAATTACCAAATTTTTCATAATATATGTACTTGATGAAATAGTATTCAGTTGCTAAAGATGAAGTAAAAATTATCACCTTTCATGTAAAAAAGAAAATGCATGCATCTATCGTAAATGCAACATTCATGTGCCAAATTTTTTAACAAATTTCGAATATGTTAATTTCATTCTCTAACTTTATCCATATCTTCAATTCGCCTTACTTGCACATAGTATATAAGTTTTAAAAATTATCTGTATACTAGTGCAAGGGTATATCTGGTTAATTGGCAAGAACAACTGTGACTCCAAATATTGAGTAAAAAGAAAAAAAATGTTAAATAAAAAAATGCAATGCATGAAATGGTAGCCATGAAATTAAGTAAAGAAAATCAACAATAGATTTGAAAATCTATTGCTCCAGATTAAGTGACATCAAAATAAGATGATGAGATTGCATAATAATATAACTCAATGATTAGTTGCAGTAAAAATTATATCTTGAATCGAAAAAAATTAAGTTATAAAATTAGATTTTTTTCATTTGAGCTAATCTTATTATGCTTTATTTTTTCAAAAATCAATGAAAATAAATGTATATTAGTGAATTGATTTCAATAACATATCGAAAAATCAGTTTTTCGACATAAAGTATCAGAATAGAAGAACAATATGTTGAACTTCATAGATAAAAGTTATATCTAGCCAAAACTAAATTTCCTTTTGATAAGAGTTAAGGATTGATTTGTTGAGTTGTTATCTTCGTTGAAGATGAAGTAAATTCGCACATTTCAGTTTATAGTAACCAAATTAGAATTGGATACGCATTCAAATCATATAAATATTCACTATTACCAAAATTTTATATTAAATCGTGATCCACTACTCCTCGTCAAGAGAGAAGGAAAGCAACTGCAAGTCCTGTCGACAAGCTTCCTCACGAGGTCGATTCTCTGAAACATGATCTTCGTGATGCGGGCGAAAGTCAGCACTTGAATGCACAGACACATCTCCCCGAGCCAATAGGGAGATGTGTCTCCCTATTGGCTCGAGCCGCAAACCACACATTCGTGTCCCTCTTGTTGGCCCACGAACCCGGGCTCGTTATATTATCATCAAGAAAGCCCCAATAGGCTTCAAAACATTCTTCGGTTGTTAGAAATTTTATCCATGAATTGGATTCGTTGGGATTGGATTGGATGTATTGAATTTCAATTCTGAGCACATGTGATTTCCATTCGTCTGGATATTCATCAAAGCGCTATATCTTTTCAGACCCACTGGAACATCGTACCTAACAGTCTTGAGTAAGAAGAAATCTTCTTATCCTTCTTTATTCATTTAAAACATTTTCAACATTATTCAAACAAAAGATATATCTTTCTTTGATTTTGCTTTGGATTGAAAAGAAATAATGAAATAGACTTGATATGGCAAAATAGAGATCATTGCTTTAATCTCAAGTATCGATATACTCTTAAGACCGTACAATTCATTACATATTTGAGTGTCTCGAAAAATTGTCTGAAGGTTTTTTCTTTCAATGACCAACTGCGAATAAGTCTTAACTCTACAAATCAAGGTTGACACGGTAGATCTTTCTTCTCTCACTACGTTTTGATTCGATAACATACATAGTATTTACTTCTTCTAGTGGTAGGTGGTTATGAGATGAAGAAAACTTTCCATGACATTACTACTATATGTTTGCAAGAATCATCCGCTAGAATAAACAAAACAACATAATTTTCATCATTTAGATTTAAATAATAATATTTTATTTTTTAATGTCATAAATTTAAAATTATCTATTTAATTACATGTATGATTAATTGAGATTTTTTCAAATAAAAGAAAATCTCATAGAATTTTAACACATTTTTTAAAAACTTGCTGCTGAGTATTGTGTAAACATGTTCATCATCTCGAACATCGAAACATGTTCAAACATCGAAAACTGTATGAATTTCGATTTCAAATAACAGCGCTCATGACGCTCGATGAATCCGATAGACAGTTGATTATTGTAGTTTACAGTGTTTTTCAATGAACACCTCAAAAGACTTCTGGAAAAGAAATCTGGTGAACAGGTACCTAATTCGAAGCATGTCAGGCACAACAGAATTTATTGTCCGAGGTCAGGTTAGCAGAGCTAATAACAGATCGAACATCATGAGGATGACGCTGGTCCAGATCGAGAGATGAAGAGCATTATGATGGACAAGGTAGATGGCAGCACAGAGATTGCATTGGAGCACAGCTTGCCTGAAACTTGGGGATTCCCGCGGCAGTCAAAGCAGTTCTTTATGGATCGCGGCACTGCTCCTTCATGCCCGCGTACATTGTCTCACTGTGAGCGGATTCGGCTATTACCGATTCCACCTGAGCTGAAAAAGGTCTGTACGTGTTCGGACCACGCCTTGATCTCACAAATTCATCCCCATCGTCAATTTCTTCAAGTTGTACTACGAAAGCACCCCCTCAATGACTCATTTGGACTCGTGTCGCAATTGTCAGACAACTTTTGCAGCACAGGCTCAAACGCAGCGTCGGTCACAAGCCTATCTTCCTGACCCACTTGATCCTGAGCTTGATGGCTGTAACCGGACTCTGACGACATTTTTGTGTCCATGTCCTATCAGTCGCCACAACCAACTCAACGCTGGATCAAAGGACGGGCATTTTAGAACCCGAATCATGGAGGTAATGCACGGTTTCTCCAAAATTTCTTTCTCCGTTTTCCTGTTCAAAACATCTCCCAAGATTTGATTTTCTAAACAAAAGGAAAAGAAACCAGAGACGGGAATCGGACTAATGGACGTCGTGGGAATGGATCGGTCCAGTAAGACACCGATTATATCGAGGCTTGATGCTGGAACATTGAACAGCCAGAAGCGTTTTCAAGATTTGGATACTTCGTCGAAAAAAGCTTTTTCTTCTCGGTCAAAACAGGGCAAAAAATAGGCAACTCCCACCGTGAAAGTCGTTTCGACTTACACCCACCTTCACTTCTGGAGCGCGGTGACCATTGCACGCCATAAACCTTAACCATGAAGCAACTTTGCACACCTTTCATCATTATTCACCTTTCATCTGTATGCATAAATTTTTCCATTACTGCACTATAGGAGGGCCCTAGCGATGTTCATCATTGTGCAGCTTGATAGGTCTTCCCGTTTATATTTCTCCTCTTGGCCCCCCTTCGTACGAATTGAGCATCTGCGTTCGAAGAGCTCCTCCCGGATTTGGCCCCACCGTCAGGGTTCAGGGAATTGTGGATTTGGCTCCATTGCCCTGGAAAGGGTTGACGACGCAGAAGAATAGTTGGGCAAGCTGTCTGGAGTTCGGGAAGCAGTAAGCTTTGAAAGACCTGCCAAGGTCCCATGCCCAGCGTGCCCTCGTCGACCCCATCGCCAAATTCTCTCCACTTCTTCTCCGACTCCCTTTGCATTTGGTCAAAAACTTCTTCATGTTCTTCGCAAGCTTCGATTCCCCTGCACAGCCGAAATCAAAGGGTACCAAGGACTTGAGTAACTTCGGAGTAAAAAAAAATGTCCTACTTCAAATTTTCTATCACGAAATGGCTACGCGGTATATGAGCATTAAAAGTAAAGGGAGCTGCTATTTATACTCAGTTTGGGCTAATTGATCCTCATCCTACTATACTTTTCAGAAGAGAGTTGTGTGATTGGTCGGAGGTAAGATGCAAGGACAGAAACGAGACAGGGTGGTTCGACTACAAGGTAATGTCATCGTATAAAGCTTTCGCCATCTCATTGCTCATCTACCACATTGTGTGAGATAGGCCAGCCTTACAATTGATTTGGACGTTTAGATAAACAATAGCTGAAAAAATTTTCATGAAAGTAACCTCCGCAAACAACAACCGTCGCAATTCAGGTCACAAACAATAGGCATGATAAGAAGCAATGAAGCCCTATAACGAAGACCAAGATATCTTTAGTTTACAGGAAAAAAAACAACAATATCATGAAGAAAACCGGCTTAAGGGTGTCCGCGGTACATGCGTTTCACATAGTCAAGTACATGTTCAAGAATGTTTAAATGTAACAAAAATAACGTAACAAAAATTCTTCAGGTTTTCTTGGTACTTATCATTTTATGGACTTGATTGGTACTTATCATTTTATGGACTTGATTGATACATCTCCGATTTTGAGCTAGCAACACACTTGAAGGTCTGACATGTGAAGAGAGCTTACAACTTATGGGCACCATCGACTACGTTGCTCCAGAGTTCTTTGAAATTGATGAGACTTCATATCACATTGTTCTAGTTAGATCCGCGAAGTTCCCTTCTAATACTCAGTATATGTCTTTAATGAAATGTAGTAAAGTTTGTTGTGTTGAATTCTTTGCCATCCGGAGGTTTAAGTAGTGTGGAAGTTTTATGTGTAGGTACACTGACAGAAAAGAGTCATGTGTACACGATTTCATGTCCACATGAAAACTATATCTTCTTCACGTCCTTGTCTTTGCATCTGATTTTTGATCAATCACAATACTCTCTTCTCTAGAATATAGTGAGGGATAATTAGCCTAAATTGAGGTATAACTAGCTGTTACTAAAATAAATCAACTAAAGTGATGCTACTTTAAGTATTGCATCAACTCCTCTTGGCTCTAGATCAGATCTCATAAGGTTTGGCGTAAGCTAAGTTTGCCAGAGTTAAATTAACTTTGGCATATTTTTCACTTTGATTCTGGTATTTTTGGCATAATTTTTTTAATTTGGGAGCATCTATTTATCCCTTAGTTCATGCTAATAATCTCTCAACCTAATTGTAGGGTAAGGACAACCAGTTTGTTCTAGTGATAACACACAAGATCAAGTCTCTTGATAGCTCTATCTTTCTTGTTACCAACCCTGCATCTGCGCTTAATCACAACGGCGTAGCCCTTATGCAACACAGAAGCTTGCACTTTCGATAGCCCAGCGTTTATTGTTGTGTGAGGAACCTTTGGCGATGAAACAAGCGTGTTCATTTTGAAATGATATCACTTATACCAAGCACAAATCTCATTTCTAAAACAAGTTATATAAGTTTTGCAATATGAGGTATAATTAATGATAACTAGAGTTTACTTTAATTTTGCTACTTTTTAATCTTGATGTTGATATCAACTTAATTTAATCAAGACAATCATCATTAATTTAATTCGGATAAGTGTTGCACTTCCACTTTGTCAGTTAAGCTCTCATGAAAGTGTAAAGTTTGCAAGGGAGATCTCAAAGCTAAAATAAAAAACACCTGACTTCTATGTGTTTCAGGAAAAATTATGTGATTGCAAATTTCTATTTTTAAAAATCTTGATTCTCAGCACTTTGCTTGCAGTTTATCTAAAAAGTGTAATACATAAAATCATCAAATCTACAATTGTAACTAAATTTCTATATTTTAAAATCTTGATTCTTTTCAATTCACTTTCCATTTATTTAAAATGTATGATTCTGACTACCGTCAAATCTACAATTGTAACTAAAATCTATTTTTGAAAATATTAATTTTCACCATTCCACTTGCAGTTTATCTAAAAGTGTAATACAAAAAAATCATTAAATATACAATTGTAACTAATATTTCTAAACCAAATATTGATATGTTTTAACCTTATCGATATCAATATGATTTATGATTTAGTTACAAAATTATGGCATTATGTGAAATTTAATTCTCGCAAAGTTGGCATCTAAAAATAGAAGCCAAATTTTAAGAGTTATGATCTATGTAAGGTTAAACTTTGTCTTGTTAATCATAGTTAGGCTTGGACTCTAGTTAGGATTTGATATACTTAATTATAGTATGAGCAAGTTTTAGTTCAGTTTCAAATGTACACTTGTATGAAGAGAAAATGGAGAGCTGAACTATGAAGGTTTGAGGTAACATTCTCGCCTAAGTGAAGTTTTAATCTCGGTCGTGGACGTAGTCTTATGTAAAGATGAACCACATACATAAGTGTATGCTACTCGTTTGTGATTCTTGGTGTGTAAATCTGCTGATTTTTGTACAATTGCTAGCAGAGGTAGTTTCAATGCAAGAATATTTCTAATTTTTAAAATTTATTGGAGACCAAGGAGCGCGGAAGAGCTGTCAAAATTTCTACTCTCAACTCAAAGTAGATTGTTGGTTGATTCCATGTGGAAGTAGAGCTAGAGGCATTAATTACATTTTGATGAAGATTAGGATTTTTTCATTGGATAATCGCAGAGATTTTTTAAATCTGAAGCGGAAGAGATTTATTTCATTTTGATGTCATAGAAATTGCTTTGATTTTTTTTTGAATCTAAATTTTTTCATCCATCAAATTCTGCTCCCGCATACATAAGATTCACATACTTTCTAAAACGATAGTTTTAATCTAAATTTTGTCAAGCAATTGCAAAGTTATGGACATCTAAAGTTTGGGGCCGAGCTCGGCTATGGTGGCAATACGGTGAGTGTATTCAAAGCCGCAAGTTGCAGGATTACTAAAATTTGGGGCAGCAGATCATCCGGATCGAGCAAGGCAAATAAAAAAAAAAATAGGGTCACGGATGACTCCACAGAGAAAAGTCTCCGTGTGAAAAATCTTGGATAAAAAGTATCCAAGATAAAAAGTATCTTGGATAAAAATCTTGACAATTTTGTGACATTTGACCAGGCAAAAAATCTCCGTTTGAGCTCAAATCTTGCAAGATGATTTTCATGCAAGTTGAGTAAGCAATACAAAATACGGTTTTGGAATTGAACAACGTAAGAATCTGTGATTCTAAAGATTCCCTCAGGGGTCCAAATTCAAGTTTTTATCCCTTCTAGTCTAGAATTTAAAACTTTTTACTTAGAAATGATTTTAAGAAATTGTTTTCACATTCCATTAGATTAACTTGTGGACTACACAAAAATGAACTGGGAAATGAACTATGCCTTGTGATAGCGACAAATCACTAGTGTATTTCGTGCTATGGGTTTGGAATAGGTGCTTAAGCCACAATCCGACGACTTAGATGATGATGATTGAAATGACAATCAATATCAAGCGATGAGTATTGTGATATTGTATCTCAAATCAAATTTCTTCAAAGAAATGGAAGAAACTCCAACGGTGGCAAATTTGTTTACGGACTTGTGTAAAAAGTATCATAAGAAGTAGCTTTCAAACCGATTGTACACGCATTTCAAGCTCATAAGCCTTAGAATGGCGGAAGGTGCTAAGATCCAAGATCATATAATTGGCTTCAATGATTTGATAGTGGATCTTGAGAACCTTGGAGAAGATTTGAGTTATGAACAAAAAGCGATTCAATTATTGAGTTCTTTGCGGACCTCATATCAGTCCCTATCACAGGTGTTGCTTCACCATCACACATAATGAAGTTATTATTGCTGTATTGACCGACAATATGCAGCAGGGGCGGTTGGTGTATGGGAGTTAGTCTTGCGATTAATCCACTTCATCGAATATTGTCTTGACAGTTTCTCATGGTATAACGTCTACTAGAGATTAAGGAAATAGAAATACCAAGATCAAGTATAGACCAAGTTGGCATTGAATCTATGTAGATTCAAATGTTTGATGGAATGATATGTATATTGATCAACGTACAACACATCTCCAGCATGTGTAAGAACTTGATCTCACATGAAGAATTAGAATTGAAAGTTCACTAGTGTAACATTGATAGTGAGATTTTGAGTGTGATGAATAATTTTCACATTCTCATGAGTAACTTAAGATTTAAAAATCTATATATCTTATGACTTGTTATCACCAAAATTAATTTAAGACAATTTCAGCATCTAAAAATAGAATATATACTTTTATGAGGTCTGGGTTATGTTTAAAACATTCACAAAAAACTGCTGTGTCCCACAAAAGCGGCAACATCTCAACCCTTAACACATGTATCGTTCATATGAGTATAAATCATGCCTCATAAAAGTAGTCATTCCATTTTTAGATGTCAAAATTGCCAAAATTAATTTTGCCTCAGTGTCAAAATTAAGTCACAATAATTTTTTGCACTCGTCACAGCTTGTTGTCGTCAGCAGTACTCGCCAGCATCGTCGAGGGTTCATGAGTCGACAGACGTACTTCAAGGGCAAGCATGCCGTCGAGTTTGGCCTCGCATCCGTGAAAAAGTTCCTTGATGTAACAATTACAACCGTGGAATGTCTATTTTGCGTTCACTTTGGGCGAGAGAAACAAGACGGTCCGGGTGTGAAGCGTCAGCAAACACAAAACGTGCAACTCTTTCAGTTTCCGTTTCGACCAAAAAATTACAAAATTCATTTGAAAAAGCAACACCCAAATGACTAAAGCCAATACCAAGAATGAGAGAGAGCCTGATGTGAAGGGTGGGTTGGATTCACATAATGAGATAACAATGTTCAATATTGCCTGGGATGTTTTCAAATGACGTATCCAACATTTGCATCAATTATGCACTGGATTAGTGACCGCGCTCTCTAACGACGCTACAATGAAGAGCGATTTCTCCATTTTGAAATTGAAAATAAACAGCATCCGCCAATCGCTCACCAGTCTGTCGTTGGCGGGTACAATGCATGCAAAATAGTTCAAATTGCTTAAGTAGATTGCGAAGAAGATGAACCAATAATTGAGAATGATATCAAGCGAAACGTTTTTTAGCGATGAAATCAATTAAAAAAAAAGACCAAATACCGAAAGTGCCAAAATTAATGCGCTGAAATTGCCAAATTAGTTTATTTTTGGAAAAATAAGCATTTGCCTATCTTTATGAGGCCTGATATAAAATTTGATAAAATTTGTTTGTATGGATATAAATTCGGTGTCACACAATAATTATGTGATCAATATGACACCAATATGTTTGTAGAAGTCAAACTACCTTCATGTCATAGATAAATGTAGTTCCAGTCGTAAGTGGTTTGTAGTAACTCATGATTCATGTGTTACTACAATCAGTCATGGGCCATGATCAGGCCTATGTACATTAGGTAATCTAAAAATAGATGCATAATATCTTGAATTTCAAATCTCTTGAATCTCTAACCTCAAAATTATTTCTCAAATTGTTTCAAAACAATAAATTTTTGAATGTCTGGAACAACAGCACCTTTGAAAGAATTCTTGCTTCAGATACATGCAAGAATCATTTGCATGACGAGGTAACGTTCATTTTTAACGTTACCTCGTCGATCTACTATTTGTTGCATTAGATCATAGAGACCGAGAAAGAGATAGTGGGAAGTGTACACGGGCAAGATATATATCAGAAGAGTTCCTGGAGTGAATTGAGCTGAAGTCCCGAACTTGGGATTCAAGCAAATCGGAAATAGATTCTCTCGCAATTAATGCCTGGGAACATGAGGTTGAAAGAAATTTATTAGATCTGAAAATTTTTATGTCGAGTTATTATTGTGAGAAATTTTGGTTGAAATTGATAGAATAAACTTCTCATGGAATTCATTTTCTGTAAGATCTTGTTTACATTGAATTATTCCTCTGTAAAATTGAATTGAGATAGATAAAATATATGTCTTTGATTTTCTATAAGCAGATGCCTAATCTTGATTAATTTCATTAAAGATATGTGTCTAATTTGCTTCGATTAGGCACAAATAGGCATATGTCTAATGTACAAAGTCCTGGCCATGAGTCATGGCCAATGACTGATTGATGTAGCTAGGCGTTTTGAAGTAAAGGCACTTGGTGTTTTAAGAACCTCAAATAAGTTGGAAATGATCAAAGGCTCTTCAGAAAGTTGGCCATTTTTCCTAAAGGCTTGGCTCAATTGAATTATTTCTTTTCTGTTAAGCTATTGAACAAAATGTACTTGTGAATACTTTGATATTCAACATATTATTACGATACTCTTTGTGTTGATTGATAGAGAAGTTATATGATGTGATGTACAATCTAGCCAAAAAATGTAGTGACATATATGCATATGCAACTCATGTTCTATTTACTTCTAAAATAGTTAGTTTAGGCCAAAAATTTAAGATTTACAATCTTGAAAAGCTTTAGATTTCATGTTTGCTTGCAAATTTTGTTCAATTGGAAACATTTTAAAATTAAGTATATGATCCTTTTAGAAATTTTGTTCGTTCAATTTTTTTATCATAATGATGAGAAATATAGAATATCCATATAGTCATTTTATGTTAAGATAAATAATGTTAAATTTATACTTCTCTTTATATTTATTCAAAGAAAGAAAAAGAATCTAAATGAATCAAACTTCATGGTTGTAACATTTGCAATGACTTTGTTTCAAGACTCATTGTACACTTCGATTTTCTGTAATATAATTTTCGTGAACTTCTCTAATATTTATCCGTATTTATTAATGAGAGGTGATAACTGTACTGATGTGAAAATATGGTCACTTACAGTTTTTTTAAAAAAATTGACAATATTATTCAAATTATATTTGCAAAGCTTTTGAGAAGAAAAAACTACATATTATAGTAAATTGAAGCAATCACATCATATTTGTTTAAATTTTGTAATGGATCAATACATGAATCATAGCTTGAGGTTGAGGGTTCCGTTTTAAAGCAAGTGATCTAGCAGTAATTAATTCTGGTATAGAACCACCCACTCGTTTGATATTGGAAAGTCCTCGGATTAGCAAGGATTAAGGGTTTAAACTAGACCTCGTTAAAAGTGGCATTTTACTCAAAAATGTCACTTATGCCACAATAAAAATTGAGCCTATGTCACAATTAAGCTTTTTTCGATAGTGACTTTTTTGGTTACAATTGAAATTTTCGAAGTAAATTTCTTATTGTAATTTCTAGATTTTAATCACTGCTTAGAGTTTACAAAGTGCGCGAATGAGAGCGGAAGATTGATATTATCCCAACCAAGCAAACATTAGACAACATTGGCGTTCGTGTGCTATAAGTGACTGGGAATATCTGTGTTTTTGAGTAGATTGTGGACAAAAATAGAAGTAACACATGATCATCTAATGGATGTAATCTATGGAAGAAACGAGTATTACATACACCCGAACTTTTCTAAAACTCTAATGCAAGAATATTCTGGTCATGAACCAAGTTTCTCTCTAGTACTAGGATTGAAGACATATGATGTTACTCATCTTTAGCTCAAGTTTTGAGTAGGAATATAATTCAGATCTTGTGGATTTTAGAAGTTGACACTATTCAATTGAAGTCTAATATACTCTCTTTAGGATGAGTAATCATGAACTCATTTCTTCTCAAAGGACTAGTTCTCTATGCTTTGAATATATTCATGGTGAATAATCATGCGACCTTTTTATGGACTCTTCTAAATTCTAGTTAGCTTTCGATGGCTTTAGATGTACCTTGGACATAACATGAAGATGGAATCTAAGTTAGCCACAATGGAGAAACAACACTGCATGAAATAAGCTCAATCTCTTATGATTTCAACATTGTCACAAAAAGTTTTCAATACAAATGACATTTTTAAGAAATGTTGGATGCCACAATTAACAAAAAGGTGGCAAAAGTGGCAAATGCCACTTTTAATGAGTTCTGGTTTAAACCCTAAACATAAAATCGTGGCTGACTCTGCAAGTGATTCTTTTATCACATTTTATACCGGAGAAACTTTTTTTTATTACTTTCAAGGAGAAAATGTAACTGAAGGATTTTTCTAAATTTTCATTTGTTGAAAGTAGCAACAAGCTGTAAGTGTCGTAACGTAGTCTTCACTATTGCTACCTAGTCTTCACGTGTTGTTTATTAAGACAATCCCACGACATAAAGACTGAGTATATTAGTGATACAACTCAAAATCATGTACTCCGTATTCTACAATATAATATATCGAGGTCTGGAGAGATGAGCAACAACTTATCTGTTGAAGGCATGCTTGCGCATCGTAGCTGTATTGAAAGTGAGGCCCGCCATGCGGCAATGAGGTACCCCAAAGACAAGGCAACTTTATTGAGGGTACTATCAAATAATTTTCTCGGGATTGATATAACGCCTTTTGATATCTGGTTTTATCTTTATACAATAGTCTTTTCTTTACTATTGTAGTGGGCTATGATGTAGAGTCTTGCAATAGGTACCATACCCATGGCACAATGGGTGGGTAATGGGTATGGACAATGGGCGGTACAGGTACCCGACTTTAAAACTACTCCGTTAGCAGATTATAGGGCGACTTATCGTATGATAATCCCTGAATACTATATGTATACTAATGTATATGGTGAATTATAATCCAAAACTTCCATGTGCTGGTTGAAATGCATAGAATTCATTCATATGCAAGATAGCTCAATTTGCCTAACAATCAACCTATAGATCATTAGACGTTAAAAATGCAACCATAAATCGACATGTCGTTCGGGAGGGAATTAATCGTTTCAGTGAATATATTGGTATCCAAAAGATGATGATGACATCAATACAGTGATGGTATGTAGCTGTAATTTATAGTATTGTCTCTATTGCTATTGCGAACGAGTATTGCTACTCATTGGCAACTCACTCCTTTTATAAACACTTCAAAGTACTCTTAATTAGCTTTATTTTGGTGATGGGTATGTACAAGTGCCATGGGTATGGGCTCGAGCTTCATAGAGAAGTTTGATGAGAAAATACAGGGAAATGATTATAACTAGTCGCTATGCAGATTGTTTCTGATATATACTGCAAGTAATATTTGAAGACATGAGAATGTGAAACGAAAGTGACCCGTCACAATTATGTGAATGTCAATGGAAAAAAATGCCAATCGATCATGGCGTCAATGTGCTTTGTGCCAAAGGTCGTCAACACGATGTGCGACCCGGTCTCCAGCTCCCAGTGCACTGCTCTTCTGTTTGGATCCATGTGCCTCAAAAGTCAACACTCATCTGGCCTCATCTTCGGACCATGTGACTCAAAAGTCAACACTAATTTGGCCTCATATCGGACCATGAATCTGCTTCTTCCTGAAATTTCACTTGGAAAAATCCCCTCGAGAAACAAGTGCACATCGAGGTCACACGGACCAACAACGAACGATGATGCTCGGAATGTGTCGAGAATTTGTCTCGTGCGAGTCTTCAAACGGAGAAGGTTTTGTTAGCGGCTGAAAGTCTGACTCTGAGCAGAATCTCAGGAGGGTTGTGTTGTCGATCTCTAGATGTGTAAGGATTGCTGCGCTGTACTTACTCTGAATACTGATTGAGATATCAGACTGAGAGCAGGTAATGAATGGTCCTTAAGAAGATTCTGTACGACCTGAGGACAAGCTTTCCACTTTTCATCTCTACTGAAACTCTGGTATCTCTAGCACGGCAAAAATGGAGGACAATCAGGTAAGGTCTCTTCGCAATGTTCTATTTGTATTTCTCTGAGGCAATCAAATATCATTGGATGTGTCAGTGTCAAAACACGCAACTTTCTTGCTTGATTTATCGATACGTTGGCACGATCACTTAGTAGACACTATACTGGAGATAGACAGACCTGCTATGTCATTGACTGTGTTGTGATGGATCAGTTGTCAGATCAGAGACCTTGCACATGACGAGTGCATACTCATGGCCGATTTTGACGCTTCCGCAGGTGAAAAAAATCAGTGACAGTGTGTATGAATTTTGCAAGCCGGACAATCCGAGTGTAGAGATCATTTTCTTTCATGGGATCCAGATGGGGGAAGAAGATGTAAGTGAGCTACACTTGAGCACTTGGACAGTGAAATCCGAGGAAGCCGATGCTCCTCCAGAATACTGGCCGCAAACATTCTTCGCCAAGGATGAGCATCTGACCAGTAAAAATATAAGTGTGAGAGCATTGACTGCACGTTACGATCCTTCAAAGTATAAAACTCACAACACAGGTCGACTAGATTTATATAACATAGCAGAAAACTTCACTCACAGTATAATTGACAATAATCGCGTGAATGTGGGTCTTCGGGAAGGAGTACCTGTCATCATGGTTGGTCATTCTTTCGGTGGGTTGGTGATGAAGAAACTGGTGGATCAAGTAGCGGAGAAAGCTCGACTAAATGGCAACCATTCCAAAAATCTGCAAAAGTTTTTGGATAATTTGAAGGGGCTCTTCTACTATTCTACCCCACACCTGGCGCTCAAAGATGAAGTTTTTCAGAGGCTCTTTCCACCGGGAAAGAGCTACAGCGATTTACCAAAGTTGCTTGAGGAACTGAACAAAGGAGCTGGTCGACTTCACGCGGTTTTGACTACATATGCAAAAGGGCATAAAATAATGGTGAATGAGGCATTCGATGTCAATAATACTGATCTGGTAGTACTCTGGAACCTTTCTATTCAATCACAGATCCTTTCCATTCGATGAGAACGTCAGTTGTTGTCTTCTTCTTGTTTGTAATGAGCTCCACTTTTGTTAGACACATATCCAATGAAATTTATTCTGGCTTAAAACGTTTTTGGCCTATTTGCATGAAGCTGAAAATGAGACATTCTTTGGATTTGACAGGGTGACAACCTGGAGCCGATCCAGATAGTAACCGAAGCTTCAGCAGGATGTGGAGCTGAGAGCAAATTAGCAATCAGTGAGGACCATTTCAATGTCTGCAGACCCAGAGATGTGAAATCCTCAAACTATCAAGCACTCGCCAATTTCATCGTTAAAATTGTAGAGCGAGAGAAAGCGAAAAAAAATTCCGACGCTGCAGGATTAGATCTTCCAGAGGTGGGCAGGCGCCGGTGATCGCATGAACTGACTCCAAATATGAACGACTAGAAAGTCGCGATTACTGTCTTGTAGAAAAACATTCACATTCTGTATGTGAGATACAAATTCTGGAGTCACAGACAAGTAAATACTGAAGAGGCAGTAGTGGGATCAGAAAACTTCAGTACATTTTCCTTGTACGGTTGTGAGGATACTTCTGTAAATTACGCTTATTGGGTACTGGAATTACGCACCTTCTGTATAAACACATCTTTGACTATCTGACGTCTACAAAACGTGTGCAAAGTTACGATTATAACTTACCCCCTTCCTTCCTTCCTTCTTTCTTTCTTTCTTTCTTTCTTTCCTTCCTTCCTTGTATTCTTGTTGCTGCTGCTTCTCGTCTCCTCGGTGATGTTCTGTTCAGGTTTGTTCGTTTGTCTGTGAGGAGAATGGGACTGAGAGTGGGAGAGAGACGGAAAGAGAAGCATCTGATCGCCCCGAGTTGTGGGGGTTTGCTTTCTAGATTTAGAAGTGGGGGAGAAAATTACGGCTCGGAGAGTTAATCCCCGTTTAAGAGGTTTCTTGCCTACCTTGATCAGCAAGTGAATCTCTCTACTTCTGCTTTGGCTTCTCCAACCATGGCATTCGCAATTGTTGCTGCAACGTAGATCCAACTAAGAAGAGTACCAAGTCTTTATCATGAGGGTGAGAGCAGATCAGCTAAGTCGAGCGATTGCTGCATATAATTCCCTACACACTGGTGAAAACCATTCTGAAATAATCACAAACTGGATTACAGATTGGGTTGGACTTTCTTAGATCAGAGTTCCAGATTCAGAAGTTTTTAGTTTCCATCGTTATATCTATTAGCTAAAACATCTACGATTGAGGAAGCAATTCCGGCCAAGACCAAGGAAATAAAAAGGTGACTTCCAAATCAAATATAATAAATAAAATAGAAACAAGATAAAATCGTTGCGGTGAAAATCACCCAACGCGTAATATCATCGACTACTAGTGTATGAAGATGAACATATCTTCTTGCCAGCGGGAGTTGGCGCTTCGGGGCCAGAATTCCAACGATTCCAACAAAGGCAATTTCGATAAAATTCACTTTCTTGTCTCTGTTTAAACTTGCGAACAGACTTTACTCAGATCCATCCACTAACGGGATTTCTTGAATGACATTGTTACTTCCAAGAGAAAGTGGTCGCCGAATTCTGCTATCTGCATCTTTCTTTAGAGAAACATTTTTTCTTTCGCCGTACTAAGACTCAAACGTTAAGGACATTTCTGTTTTAGAGCAATCTTCAAAAGTCCTCCCAACACGTTGTTTGTGACGAATGTGCTGGAAATTTGTCAGTGTACTTTTTTTGAGATGGAGATCGATAATCAGTTCAAAGTCTTCTCTACAGAGTTTTTCTTTCCGAAAGGATTTCATCTTCTAGACGTGATACATAACTCACAGCCCGAAATGAAAACATAGTCATTCAAGTGGTTATCAATTCTTTCTTGAGAGACTAAGGAGTATGATCAAGTGGTTGGGATCTTTGTCATCACATTAGTTTAATTATTGTGTGACTACAACCTGCACGTAAGATTACATGCATAAAAACTTATTTCATGTCTGAAGATAAGTGAGGCATATAGCAACTTAGACTGGGTATCATTTCCACGACTCCAACTCCACCAACACAACTCTGCTTTGCTTCAGATGGATAGGCGGAAATCTTGAAGAGGTGTAATTAAATTTTCTGCTCAAAATCTCTTTACTTCCACAGGTGGTCGAGATATTCTTGAACCATTCACAGACGTTACCTCTGAAAAAATGGTACCCAAGAACTTCACGACGCTAAGAATTCCAATCGCCTAAATGGTGCAATACCTTAACTCGTCCTAAAGTGTTCTATACATGAGATCCATGAAATCGAGAAATGTTTTCAGTAGTCACATTATATGAGTAAAGCCCTCAAAAAGGCCTTCGAACATTCATCCAATCTTGAGCGAAGTATTATCATTTGCGCTTCCAAAATGGCATCTGCATCCTCTCAGCGGGCTACACAGAGTAAAAGCATCAAGAATTTGGCGACCTGTAATGCCCGCACTCCATGCGGGCATTATGAGTGCAGCAGGTCTAGCGCTACGGTTGATCTCATTACGTTGAAAGATTTCATGAGACTGCTGTGGTTATCTTTACATCCGTGGATCCCTTTCCACAATATCAGCATATCCGAACCCAGAAAGGCCAGCAGTAGCAAAGCTCTACGCAACCAAACTACATCTAACAAAACGGAAAGTAGAGATTCCTCGTGCTTTGGTCCCTACTCGTCAGTGCTTACTGGCATTAAGAAACGTTGTTAATCGCCTGCCTTAACTTGGGCCGCCTCAATTAGAATACGGTTCACCTCCTTCAATCGTATTCTTGTGAGTGCAATGCAATCCTGTCACAAGCGAGGATTTCGAACCTAGCCTTCGTAAAGATACAAAAGTGGAAAATAAAACTCACAGTACTTGATACTACACAAAACCCGTGGAGCTTATAATGAAGAAATTATGAAAAGAAACGATCGCGTTGGGGGAAGCCTTACCATAATCGTGGACGTTGTTGCGACGATCAGGCCACCAGGTTTATACAAAGAAATCAATTTGTCAGACGAGTCCATAGCCACAGTTACAGTTGTTTGGAGATAAGTTTCCTCCTCCGCCGTGGGGTCGGCCAGAATATGCTTCTTGTGCAACATACATGTCAGGGCCACGGGCACTGGTCCTAGTGTCAACCTTCGTTTATCTATTCGTCTACTTTTGGATTCATCTGAAACTTTCTCCGCATCAAGCATATGTTGATCTTGGTCTCCTGAAGGAGAAACTATCTGCACCTTGCCATCGTCATCAATAGCGACGCCTGGAATTTGCACTGGTCATTACAGGAAGGCAATATATCAGTTTTGCGTGAAGTGTGAGAAGTTTGACGTCCGCAAATCAAACAGGTGAAAACCTAGCTTTTAGAGGTGAAAGACCTTGCTCACAGCTCCACCACACGTCCACGTAACATAGTTACACCCGATAAAAACCAGTAAAATGACATGAAGAACAAGAGGAAGCAAGCAAATTTTGCGACTATGCTAAAAAATTCTATAAGCGGAAGACATGCTCACTTACAGTCAGTCAGGGCTGCAGCGCAAGCTAACAATGCAGCATCAAATAAAGAACCATCCGCGTTTAAGCAATAAATGTCCTGCGTAATAATGTGATCCACATACTGATCAGCACCGTGTCCCCCGAAACTAGATATTACAAGGAGAAAAGGACCGTTGAAGACTGGACTAGCAGAAACACTCCGCATATCAGTGACCAGTGTTCGGATGTTCACCCAGAACATACCAGATTTGCCACCCAAGCCGATTTGCCACTCGTGATTAGAAGTTCACGCAGGTCCAAGAGCTGCGCACTTTCATGCCAACATGCGTATCAAGCTCACCAGCTTATTTTCAAAACGAAACTTCTTTAAGTTCGAAATCTGACACTTAAAACATGAGAAACATAAAAAAAAGACTCTTCCAGATCGCTTACTCACACGTACATATAAATTGAGGTCCCAGCGAATTTCTAAATGCTGAAACCTTCATGCTGACATATACATAACCCTAAAATCATCAATACATGGGTTTTTACCTAGCTAGCACGTTGGAGAGTTGTTCATTTATGGAACAAGCGTCCTCTGCAGGCCTACCAGGTCTTACATGAGGCGAACATATAGGCGGCATCTGAAAGTCTACGGCTGCATTTCTTCCCGAACATCCCAACAACGAGATTTAGAATCGCCTAGTGATTTAAACCGGATATCACTGTAATACTACATAACTGTCATAATACTTTATTAAATTTTTGCACATACGCAGGTGGCAAATTTAGGAAACCCTTCTCACTCATAGTTACATACCTCCCGGTAACAACGGGTTCTTTGATAAAATGCTGAAATTAATTTATTTCGAGCTATTAAAGTTTTCACTAAGACTGTCGCGCTACATGACCTTCATGATGCAAATGTCCATTCCTCATACAAATGTATGCTTACAGTCATGAGACAATAAATGGAAACGGGAGGTAAAGAAAAGAATTGAACTTGGTATGTACAGAACAATCCAAAACACAAGTTATACACCAGAACGGGAACTACCAATGCGTCCTTGGTCTGGGCTTTCCCCGGAGGGAACGCAAAGCTCCAACTTCACTCCTGCCAACATAGTCTGTCCAAACCATCAAAAATATTACAAAGAGCAAAGAGAAAATGTGAAACCTTCAAAACCTCCGAACAGCCAGTTTAAAACCTTGTCAAATTTGGAATGACGATATTCCTCAATGAAATGAAACGTCCCTCTAGAAAAAGAAAATTGGAACAAGCATCATAAGCAGAAAATACTTACTGTGTTACCAAGTTTAACCAATGCTGATCCATCTGTTGTAGGTACCTGACCTGCAGCGAAACCCATCCAATTCTCATTGCTCGTACAACAGCAAGAACATGAACCTCAACATCAACGTACTAAAACCTCTATCCTCTTGGCTACGACACTGTTCATTTCGCTGGGAGCACAGATATGACCATGGTGCATTGAATATCATTCATACGGAACGCGCAACTACAATCAGTAGAGTGCCAGAAAATCACCAACCTAGAACAACATCAGTAGGTCGGGCACGTCCCAGAGGTCGCCCGTCTGGTCGAACAGAAGCGTCAAGGTACCGTTCAATATACTGGACAGGGAATAGTCTCCTAAATGCTTCCACTTCCATCGAGGAGGCGACATCTTTCGCCCCGGTAGCGCTCTCGATACCCTCATCCTGTGACATCTCCAACGCCAATCAATCCCCTCAACTCCCAAGCCAGGCCGAGGAATCGACCTCGACGCCGCTGCAACACACTTCAATTCCGCGCCCTTCTTCAAGTCATCCGCAGCACTTGCTCTCTCTCCGACCAAGCGAGATGAAAGCTTGCACCAATTCTTCCGTGGCCCTAAAACCCTAACCCCTTCTGACACTCGAAAACCCCAGAAAAGAAACGAGTGATCGACGCCAGATTTTTCTCCGCAGAAGCGATCGTTTTGTCAAAAGCCCATTTCAGTGGCACATTGTTCGAAAGAGCGATGGGGAAAATGGACTCTGACTCGCTCGGTGGAGCAGCTCAGCGAGAACACTTACCACATCGGGCCTCCCTCGCCTTGTGCTGCGACGACGTCTGCGCGGAGTCGGAAGAGTATGCAAAGGCGGCAATGCGCCGTAAAGGCTTCCGGTCGGAATTTCTTTGCCCGGTCTACTAGACGAGTATATACACCTCCCTCCAGTTATGTCGCGGCTCGGATGGGCGGGCCCACAGTCAAATGCTGTTTTGTGCAAAGTGGAAAATACTCGATTTTGTTTTCAGTATCAATGGGGTTTTTGGTTTAATACGATAAAACTCGATTTTTTTATGAAAACCAAGATTTTTTTATTGACACGTAGACATCTTCGATCACTTTAATCTGACGTGGACGTCTCTGGGCTCGGGTTATAATAATATTGGTGATAAATTTTTAAAATCGAATAAAACCCCATTTTTGTGGCCTTAGAGATAATCAGGTTTTTTATTAAAACCCTATTGTAAAAAACCGCGCCATGCCACCCCTGGTTTTGTGGGATGGCTGGGATGTGATTGGGATTCGAGTTTCATTTTGCAATAATATTTTATATAAACAAATCATGGATTTTCATTATCAAAAAGTATAAAAATGCACATTTAGTTGGAATAAGTTAAATATGATCCGTAAGAATACAAATTTCATACACTGATTGTGTAGATAATATACTATCTGTATTTCCGAAATGGACTACAATAAAATCATGAAATTTATGTAGGAGGTAGATTGCATTTTGAACACTTTTAATTATATGATATATAAATGAGTCAGATTGAAATAATAATTCTAATTGATCTATGAACATGGAAAATGATTGGATGGTAGAATCATCAAGTAAATCTTAAAATTGGATAAAAATAAAAAATCTTTATTGCTAAAGCACACGATAGACATAGAATATCAAAGAATCTGATATCAGACTAATATATCACAAGAATAAATGTATTGCATTTTAAATTTCTATCTCGATGAGAATGTCAAAATTCAAACGGATTCTGTATTCTTCATCACTAAATTATATACTAAACAAGTGGATATAAATCACAGAAACAGAATTAAGTTGTGAAAAAAAATGATCATCATCATTGAAATTTTCTTGTATATCATTATTATACTAATAATTTCAACAAAAAATTACTATAAATCTTGTGAAAAATTTGTCACAATGCGATGTTATTTTTTCGGAATATATTCTACAAAATTATTGTGTTGTTAAAATTGAACCAACTTTTTTTCAAAATATTGTATAATCTATATTTATAGAAATTTGATGAATTCTTCTTTGAAAAACTCAATTTTAGATGCGAATATGAGTATTATTATTTTCAAATAAATTAATTATACAGACTATTAACTAAACACAACCAGACATAATTTTCAATGATGTAAAATGCGAGAAAGATTATATGATTATTAGGTTTTTACAAAAAAACAAAGCAGAATCATCGAAGTGAATTTAGATAAATTTTGTTCGAATGCAAACCTTGAATACTTTTATATCAATAGTTGTTACATAATAAAATTTAAACTTATTATTTTAAAATAATAACTGAAAATACATTTTTGATAAGACATAAATGCATTCATATAATATCAATGTTTTTTATTCTATGTAATGAGTTACATATTATTAGGCTTTATTCTTTGGCCAAAGTCTATCACATGCAGGAATGTTACACTGAAGTAAAAAGTCAAACAAAATATAAAGATATATACAGTATAAAATTGATAAGAAAATTTCCAAAAAAGCCCAATATTTTGGAAAATAATAATAATTTAAATCTCCACGTTGGACGTGTGAAGTGTTGAAATTTGAAAAAATCTGCAATTTATTGACATCAATCTTGCAATAAAAGATATAGAGTTATTTTATCATCACACATATTATACATCCTATTTAATACCTGTAATTTATCTACAAATTATTTGAAGTATAACATAAAATAAAATAAAAATTGAAATGATTCAGAAAAAAAAGATCTCCATCAATAATCTTTATTATTCTTAAAGCAACATGTATTCATTCAAGAAGATGAATGGTATATTTTGGAATATCTTGCAAATTTCAAGATTATATTGCCAAATTTTTTTATAATCATTCTTTTTAAAAATACAAGATATTTTTATAATCGATGTCGATTGATTGCAATGAGAAGATATTTTTATATTTGATTATTAATAAATTAAAAAATAAATATTAACACGTTCTTAAAAAATAAAAAAATAAAATACTGTGGATTGATGAAAAATAAAGTATGTAAATTGTTGAAATACATTTAATTTCTCGCTTATTGCATTTAATGAACTAAAATATAATTACAAAACATAGACATCATGCACAATGGAATGCAATATATATATAAAATTTTATAAACATTTTTTATTCATATTTAATCAAAATTATTTTCATAATCATTCATTTGATTTATAATAAAATTATAAGTTATTTTATATCTTAGATAATGGTGTAAAAATTGCATTTGGAAAAACTATTATCAGGTTGTGAGGAATTTAAACATTTCTTATTTTCAGTAAAATTGGTATGCAAATTTAAATGTTAAATTAACAACGCGGTATTCGTATTGGATTATTCAATAAAAAAATTTCTTGAATATTTTTAGAAAAATAACGAAACTAACGAATTTAATTTTATACTTGTTATTAAAGTAATTTTGATTATATTTAGGATTATTTGTTTTATTTTATTGCCCTACATATCAGTTATAATTATATAGGAAATCATTTTTGCATGTAAAAAAATGATCGGTGTATGAGTTTACTTTAAAATTCAATTGGTGCACGATAGTGACATACATAAGTCTGATTCTCTTAAAAGTAGTTTACTGATTTAGAATTGTTGTATGAGATTTACAAAGTTGGATGAAATTCGTATGGTACAAATTGCTTCATCCAAACTAAGTTGAAACAACAAATTATTTTTTCATCCCATTGACATATAAATGTGAATATATGACATTGTAACTTTCATCATCCGAATGAATTAATGAATTGTCATAATCATATCTGTTCAAGCATCTGAACAAATAAATTCGTTGTATTCATGAAAATACACATTGAATAGTAATACGTATCTTTGTCTTTTATGAATGATCGGAATTTACTAAATATTGAAAGCAATGATGTTCAGAAGTATTAAGTTTTGTTCCACAATATCATATTTCTAAGAAAAATATGACTTGAATTATGCTTGAATCTAATAAATCACAATATTAAATAGAATTCAGCTATTCAATTAAATGGTACAAATAATATCTCGGATCTCCAAGGCTATTCACTGAAGGCTCACTAGATCTCAGGAGGCACTCGTTTAACGGTTGCGCTACTTTTCTACACAAACATTTGGATCGTAAACCTTTATAGGTAGAAAACCGAATATATTGAATATAAAATTATTGATGGAGATCTTCAAGTTCTACGTGCGCTGGCCCGAGACCGAAGACTGACATATCCAAGCTTTGGAAGGGAGTACAGTAGATCATCTCTCAGAAACGACGGGAGCACACTTTCTATGACCTTTTCCTAAATACCACATGACTGACGAAGGAGACCCTAAAACTTTCTGAACATATCTATCGATTCCACAGTCTAATTAAGTTAGTTGACTGTTTCACAGTATGACGCACGTTATTTCTTCCGTTAAGGATATCGTTGCATTTTGTTACTCCAGTGTCAGACTCAAATTACAGTGTCGTTCATGACAAAGTCCAGGTTCTCGTCCGTTAGGATTTGTGCCAACGAATCTCTTTCTGAACTCAAAACTTAACTCAACTTAACTCAAGTTAACTCAAGTATACTCGGTAGAAGTCGTTTAGTCAGCAATATCCTCACCCACGGATAATACATGAATAACGAGAAAGCACTTTCTTTCGCTTTCTCTTTTCATTCATGTAGCGTGACAATGATGTAACGTGTAGGTAGAAAGAGACTGACGCAAAGACAAGAGGAGGTCGCCGTGCGACGACTCAGTTCATCACCGATCGTGGTATGCCTACTGCGAAGAACAGACAGCGGTAACAGAGTAGGCGCATGATGGCGTTGGAGCTACATCCGAAGATTCACGTTAATGAGGACGGTGAATCTTCGATCTTCACGGTCTGCGTCACCTTGCGAACGAATAGGCGAACGCCGTTGCTGAAGCTTCCGTCATCGTCTACCATGTTCGTCAATAAAATAAAATACAATGTCATGGAAAATACCGTATCTGTTCTATTTTGTTGGCATGGTCTGGGATTCGGGAAAGATCGTATTGGTACCGACCCGATGATTGCATGCATTGGTTTGCGTAAGAGTTTTCCCCAGACACGAAGGATCCAAGAATCGGTCAGTCGTTTGCTGACCACGGATCACCTTTTCTTCTTTTCATCTCATGCTCTAACTCAGAGTAAAGAAGATCTAGTTCGATTTCCGAATTAAATCCCGTGGTCGACGACTTATAAAATATCCACCTCGAAGCATCGCGAGTGGCCTTGCAGAGTTTTTATGGAAATAATTGAAGGCCGCGTCCCGAACTACACACAAATGATTATCCTCGATTTGGAAAGGTTATGTTCAAGACGGAAGAGCAGCAAGGATGAAGTGATTTTCGGGAGGAGCCAAATGGAACACGGCGTCGTGAAAAACCCTAGCGGCGAGGGATGGATGATAAGTGGCACGAGAGCGACTCGCGAGCGTAATCATGAAACCGAGAAACGAACTTTGGGAGGACCTTCGGACTCTGCAGTCGAAGGGTTACTGCGCGAGAGGACCGGTAGGTACCGGGTTGCTGCTCAGGCTTCAAGTAGGGGCTTCACCCGAGGCCTCGAAAAGAAGTGGAAGGAGAAGAAGCAGACGGAATAGAACAAGGCGAGGCGAGGCGAGGAGAGGAGAGGAGAGGGAGGGAGGAGCAGCATCAGCATCAGCAGAGAGGACAGGGAAAGGTGGAGGGAGGGAGGGAGGGAGCTGCGTGTTCAGCGGCCGGGCGGAACATGCTTTGCGATCCTTGGACCCAGTATTGACACAGCGACTAGCACGACGCGCAGCGCCTCTGCTGACGCGTTTTACGTCCTGACTTGGCAGACAATCCTGAATTGAAAACCACGGGAATCAAAACGCAGGCGCCCGAAGGGCCGGAACGCAATGGCTGCTGCCCACATAGTCTGAGCTGGTGAGGGCGGTGTTGTTCGTGCAAGGAAATTCCGAAGGGACTGGAACCTGGTTGATGTGGTGACGACGATACGTGGGTGTCAAGAATTCGGACTGCCTTGCGGTGGTGGTGGTGGTGGTGGCGGCAGTGAAGTCTATGACGTGATCGCTACTCCACTTCTCGTTAAATGGACTGAGCACAGCCAGTCTCGTGAAATTGGGCTGCTGGAGTGGGTTGATCCCCTTACGTTTTGCTACTTGCGTTGCTGAAGTTGCGGAGGACGAAGACTTCGGGCGTGAAATTTGCGCTCTTGAGAAAGTGTGGTCGGAGCTAAAAAATTAAAAAGTGAGCGTGGGATCGGAGCAGAATTTGAAAGGACAGATTGTAGATCCAAATTGTACGAGATGCATGTTTATAATGCCTGGTTGCCGCCTCCGGTAAGGGAATTGTTGGAGGCCGATCCGGAAAGGAACAAGTTTCATGATGTGGTCCTGGAGGTGGAGCGCGAGTGGCAGCTCCACAGCGCCGAGAGCAGATTCGCATCGCTGAAGTGGATATCTGTTATCAACACGTATGTTTGCATTTTTTTTTTACGTTGCTCCCTTATCTTGGCAAGGCAGTCGCGTTTGAATGAACTCGATTTAGTAAAGCACACCTCAGTTGAGCAGGCTCGAGTCTCCAATCACGAGAGACGTGATCCGGGTTATTTGATGCATCCTTCAACTGAGCCCTACCTATGGCAAGTTGAACGACAAACTCAACGGAGATGTTTGCAATCAAAATTCCTAATTTTATCGAAGGATAATTATGCTGGAGTCTAGCTGTAATTTTGTGTCACTTTTTGAATTTTCATGCGCGGGAGTGGCAAAAATTGGGGTCTGCTCAGCAAGGGTTTGGCAAGAAAGTCACATCACGAAAGTAGGAGCAGAATTAATAAATAAAGCCACTTTGTTTTCAAAGTTGGCCGATTATCGATAAAACCTCCCGGGCATTCGTTTTTTCCTCCAGTTGTGGAGTCCAGAATTGATGAGCTCCTTAACTGAAAATCTCTTCTGAACTAGTGCATGATGATGATTACATGCCCTGAGAAGTAGCTTGTCTAGCTCTGACCGTGAATGGTTCTTCGAGTTGTACACTCTGTAGTCATTTCTGTCTTATTCGAGAAATTATCTAGTGAATGAATCGCTACCTCTATAAACTGGAATTGCAGCTAGTACCAAACATTTGCAATTTCTTTTACAAACATGTTGCACGACGCATGAACGCAGTGCAATTGCAGTCTAAAGAGTAATTAGGGCTGCCTAGTTCGAGGTTTCAGAGATGGTCAAACCTTGTCTAAACAATATCCTTTGTTCCCAAATGTGGGGATTGTAGCCTTGTCGTTCAGTTGAATGAGGCTTAGTATGACACTCTTTGGTGGCGATGGATAGATTACTCGATCTAAATCATCAACTTAAAGAATTTTAAGAGGCTCAAGCTCAAGAATGGTCTTGCGGTTATGAAAGGCACTAATGAGTATAGCTAAGAGGGTTCAAAACTGGTGAAATATAGTCACTGTTCTTCTATCTTACTGTTTTCAGTGGCATCGTTATGCAGCTTCGTGAAAGCGAGAGCCGAACTTGCAATAGAGGATCTGGAACTGTTAGTGAAGAGGGCTCTCGACATACTCTTAGCATCATCCGACAATTTATTTGTTCAGGTCAAGTATACCGATGACATGTTCTGTTTCCTCGTCGCAGCCATGCATATAAATATTGCTCTTCATTGCATGCTTCGATGACATTCCATAGGAACAGGGAATCTGTTTGAGACATATCCATTAACTGAAGCTTTATCGTTTGCCACGAAAAACAAGAATGATGGATCCTTTATACAAAGTCTTCGAGTTGTCTTTTAGTGCATTGATAAGTGGGCTTGGTTCAAGAATCAAGCTTATTTGCCATGCAGTAGTTTGTCTGTGTTTATGTCAGGTAAGCTGAAAAATCGTTTTTTTCTGAACAGATTCAGTGGAGCCGCTGCCTCGTAAAAATTTTGAAAAAGTATCGCAACAGCCTATCTTTGATCATTCAATGGAAACCATTTTACAGATTGATATATGATACCCACTTTAAGCGGTGAGTTGCGATTTTCTCTGATGGTAATCCTACATGGTGGTGCCATTATGTCAGTGATATAATATGTAGAATCACCTTAAAAAAAATTGGTCGTTTTGAGATCGAGAATGCGTTGAAACTCAATTCGACTGTACAAGATTATAGATGGGGACCTATATATGTTCCTCAGGCCTGGCTAGCAGTTCGAGCGGATGCACTGCTACCACTCAGGGAATTTGGTTGGTGAGATTATACGTGTTTACCTTTCAATTGATTAACGTCAAAGGTCCATCATCTAGTAATATTATTAGTTCTCATTGCTGATCTTAAAAGTTTGCTTCGTACACAGGCGAATAAGCTACGAAGGTTTAGCTTTGAAACAGTATCATCAGGATACCATTGTTTCTCTTGTACGAACCAGCCGTCGATTTTTTCCTGCAGGATCTGTTACAGAGATCTGGGAGGAGTTCAGGTCTGCGTCTTTGTTACTCTCTTTCTGTATATAATTTCATAAGAATACAATACAGTCTAAAACTACTGCACTTGTATACGAGATGAGTAATATAAATGTTATTTGTTACTCTTCTTTTCATATCTAAACAGCTCAGGTTTGAGGTGTTTTTCGATGTTTATGTGTCTAACCAATTGATCTAACAGGCCAGCGTTGGATGATCTTTCACATAATTCAGCCCTTGAGGCTGTCGGTTTTATTTCCTTATTTATGCCAACTAAGTTGGAGAAGCTGACGGAGACCGACCGAGCCACACTATCGAGGTACTTCTCCACCACTAAGGGATGGCTATTATGGTCTATGGCTGCTTCTTGGAATGATGCTCTGGGACTACTTACGGTGGCTGGATTCTGGGCTCTTTGCTGAATGCCTCTAAAGTGAAGTGTCCACAGTGTACAAATTTTGGATTTAATTATACAAGGAAACAATCCAGCCAAGTCGGACGTGTGCGAAACCTCCTCAGGAACTCTAGTACTTTTCTGGTTGGGCCGCCCAAGAATAAGGTTACCCTCGTTGCCCACAGTAAAAAGGTCTAAAACCGGGATTTAATAGGCGTTTGAAACTTAAGAACGAAGAAGATAATTTTCTCGTCAACATTCTATTTAAAAGCTCAAGGGCTATGAATTTTATAAACATTCATAAAATAGATGCTGTTCTTGCGAGCCACAACGAAATCCAGCAGTTGTTTCACCAACGGACAGTAATTGAGAGACAAGGTGCTTGGGTTTGAAATGAGTTTCAGGCTGATGATCCCCTGGTGTCTTTTAAACCGGTTGCTTAAAGCGATGTAGACCGTTTCTCCTCCATGATCACCCAGTTTTCCTTGAAGAGTTGTGCTCACAAGATATGATTGGAAGCTTTCCACTACAGTCAGAAAGTTTCTCCACAGTCAAGTACAACCAGATTATTAAGTGGAAGGTCTGAGTGGATGAACGACTTTTAGATCTTGAGGATATTAAAGATGTTGTATGAGCATCTATATACACGAAGAAGAGAAAGTGAGATATGTTCCTTTCAGAACGGATAGGTAAAGTACTTACAAGTTTCTATAGCCGACGTGTTCAGTTCCCCTAGATAATGTTCTGGAAAGTAATAAACTACTCAATCGGAACTAATTCATAAAACCAAAGTTTGATACATATCGTGTGTATTTTGATGTCTGTATGTTACAGCAAGTGGCTTGAGGAGTGCCTGAAGCTGTGGGCGGCGCTTCCCAATTCTCATTATTGGGATCGTCAGTGGGCTTCTCTACTAAGCCGGTTTATCAAACACTGCTACGTATCGCATACGGTCGACTTGGATCCATATCTTCCCACTCTATTCACTCACATTTTAAGATCTTTTGAGGTACGTCGGCACTCACTTCGATCTGATGCAATAGTTATTCTGTCCTACAGGTGGATCCGTTTTGTTCTATGGTAATAGCTTGTGAACATCGTGCTGAGATAAGGAGAGTCCATCCGTTTGCCTAGCGGACTTTAAATCCAGAAAGAGGATTAGAGAAAATTACGACCCTTGCTATCACAAAACCTCGAACAGGCTGTCAGTCTTAATAGATTATGATAGAAGTTGGACTCGCACGAAAAAGTGGCCAAGGATATTAGATATTTTCACAACAGTCGTCCATTTAATTATTTAGCGCTTAGATATGTGCCCTTAAATAGTACGTCCTTTCGTAGTCCACAAAAGGTATGTAGGATGACTTGCAAATTTTAGTTTTTCCCTACGTACTTCGCATTACGTCTAAATGGTTCTTTTATTATCTGCTTGTTTCCGAAAGTATGTGTAACGACCATGCATACTTGGCAAACGAACTTGTGTTGGTGACAGGTACCTGTAGGGAAGTCCGGGACCTCATCTCCAGTTGGAAGAGACATCTCTCGAGAAATTATGTTCGCCTTTAATGGAGGAATGTGGGCGCAGCCTGTTTCTAAGTATTATGCCAAAGCTATTGTGAGACTATCCTCGACTACTTGTGTTTATTCACCATTTTATCTATCTGAATAAACGTGTTCCTACAGCAGACCTTCACGTGTTGTGTGTTTAAAATAATTACTTTTGACAGTGGGTAGACTGATAGTTCCAAAGATGTCAGGTCATATAGTCGCTTATCTTCTGAGTTCTCGCGCAGGTTTATATGTTGAAGCCAGGTGGCCCGACAGAATATTTATTGAGCAACTTGATCGATCTGCTTGAACAGTAGGTTTTCTAATTCTCGCCGGAGAAAGAACTTTGAAAGATATGATATCGCTACCCATTGGGGTCTGCAAGTACACAATTGAAGTGCATTTGACAGCAGCGTAATCAAATGTCGTTCTGTGTTATTGATCCTTATTTTACATCCTAGTGTGGATGCAGAGAAGAGTTTTCTAGGTTTCATTGAACATTTATCTGATCTTTTATGGCTACCTGCACAGGTACTACCATCCTTCTAACGGTGGTTCGTGGACAACCTCTCTTGAGAGATTCTTGCATTTCTTGGTATATTACTTTCAAAAGCGTCTCGCGTTTGAGCAGCGGTATGTTTCACTTTGGCTGAAACGTCATTGATTCAATGTCTGTATCACCATTCTGCCGTAATTGAACATGTTTCAAGGTCCGCTTGTCCTGGCCCTTCAGTCTCAGCATTGTCAATGTTGACATTCATAGAAGATCTGTGTACTGCGTGCAGAAGTCGGTCAGCTGGAGCAGTTCTTGAGGTGAACTCGTTCCTTGGATCTGCAGAAAGAAGATCCTTCGTGAAAACACTGCTACCTCTGATCGAAAGGGGCCAGTACAGCAAAGATTCTGACATGTCTGAAACGGCAGCTAGTACGGCTTCCATGTTAACGTATCTGGAGCCATCACTAGTTCTCCCTCTGATAAACTCGCGTTTTCACACGGCTTTAAACACTGTGAGTCGCCTCATCCATACTAGCTTGAAAATTATTCGTGGTTTTCTCCATCTATTGCAATATTTTAGATTGAATGCTCAAAATTAGATCGTTACAATTTCCAGACTGTTCACACCACTTCGATCCGTCCCCAGTCGACTCTTCCAACTTAATTAGATACGGGCATGAACGGGATCCCAATCCTTAAAGAGTGGTGTTGTGACTCCTTTTAAAAGATATCGATTGTACCGCTGTGTCCTTTGATCGGAGACGTGGCTATGATTTATCTCAAGGTCGTGTTTGGGCTGAACAGGAAATATTTTTGAAACCAGTGGAAACAGTGGAGAGAAACGTAAAAATCGTTCTTGTGTAGGTGTTGAGGAAGACCTTTCTGGATAGAATTAATTATCTGATATTCATCTCCTGCGCTTGGACAGATAACAGCTACGCATCAACTGGAATCGGCAGTTACAACTCTTGCTCTTGCTGGTAGGACGAATTCACAACATTGCCTTTATATTCACTTTCTGAATATCTGTGCGAAGTACATGAGCCTGCTTGTAACTTCGTCAAAATGTTAATGTGGATTATACAGCACGTCCTACGTTTCTGGCTTGCGCTAAGGAGGGTGTTTTTGCAAAGAATGACGACAATCAGGCTTCCTCCTTGTACTTGGAGGAGTTCACAGAAACCTTGGTCGTGGCCATGTTCAGTACTTTGCTTGGGATGGATGCCAATGATCCACCCAAGACACTAGCTACAATGGCGCTTTACTCCTCTATTCTTTGCAATGTGAGTTTGCTTCTAGCCTAATGATGGTTTCCTTGTTGCTCGATTATGCAAAAGCATCAGTTATTGATTGTCATGAGAAGCACGCTTTTTCCAGTTTACAGGGCTACCAGGCAACTTTTTAGATACAATGTCCTGGTTTTGAGCTTATCTTGGTTTGGATTCTCAGGTCGGAGTTGTCGGGGATGTAGCAGATGGTGGAAGTCTAGTGTTACCCATTGATTGGTCTGAATGGCTTGATGAGTTTCTCTCTCGTCTATTCACGTTGCTTGTACACTTGGAGCCCAGCGGCCAACAGTAAGTCTTCAGGCTCTGACTTCGGTGGGTTTTGATTCAAAGTTACACTTAAGACACCAAATACTTTGACTTCAATAATGAGAACGAATACTTGGCTTACAATCTCATTCTATGGTATCTGGTCTTTTTTTTTGTCTCGTTTAACTGCTCAATCAGTCTTGCTAGCAGACGAAGTCGCATACTGGCTTGTTCTAGTTAGCAAAAGTTAGAATGAAGCTTGCAGGGCGCATTGTCCATGAACGCATTGTTACATAAGCAGGATGTAGAGTTTCCATCTGAGATGTCGCAATCAATGCAGGTTGGATACCGGACTTGATGATGGTTATTATCTATCTTCAAGCACTTTCCTCATGCAAGAAGGGTCTTTTTATCATTCGGTTATCGAGCTTTTATTCGGAAGATTGACCAAACCTCTCTACCTGCAGGTAATCCTCATCTTTCTACTATCTTTTGACTGTAGTCTACCTTTGTTCATAGTTTTGAATTTCTGAACTGCGTTGCCGCAGTTCATTAGAATTTCTCCCAGTCTTACCAGCAGTACCTGATCTCCCATTGAGTCTCCTAGATTAGCCATAGCTTGCCACCACTCCCCTTCAGATGAGTTACTAACAGCAACACTAAGATCAGCTTTCTCTGAATAGCATTCCACACACGTGAAATGAGACTAATTCGAAATTCAGATAGAGTGCTAACTCCGCCCCCACTTTTTAGCTGAGAAGTGGGGGTAAAGGTCGCACTATAACTGAATTTGGTAAGTGGGGAGGTATCCGTAGCCCGATTGAATTTAGCAAAAACCAGATATGCTCTTTCATTTTGTCCGTTAGGGTGGGTTCATTCCCTTTTTTTTTTCCTGCATGGTTACGATGATTGTTTGCTCAACTGTTGGTAAGAAACTTGATCGATGTATGTTCTACGTTATTGTTTTGAACTAGTTCTAGTCAAGGAAGAGATTTTTCTCTCCCCTCAGCCGTGGTGAATGGCGAAGAAACTAGGAGTTAATCAACTAGATTGAAACCTAGTGGTGAAACCCTTAAACCAGCTGAAACTTGATATAAAATCTGGCTCCTGTATTAGATATTCCTAACAGGTGCTTATGAGATCTCGGGGGCCAGTGTATCCATTTCCTAAGATGATTCAAGGCTCATTTCTAAGCTGATTTCTCTCTTGACTTCTATTGAGCACCAATAGAGTCTAAGCTAGTACACTTCTTCTGGTTCAGTTTCGGTAACATCAACAAGTTTTCTCCCCTTTCCGATGTAAAAAATATTTAAACAACGAACTGCTTCTGCTGTTGCATAATTGTACGTACTTCAAAGACAACTTGGCCTGCCTTCGTTGTGAACTGTTTCGGCTGTTACTTTGACTGTTATGTACACTGTCCAAGATATTAAGATTTCACCACTAATGACGTTTACGCTTTGCAGCTATATATATAGTTATCCGAGCATGTCTGATAAAGTTCATCGTGCGTCCTACTGTTCGTACTGAAAACTTTCAATCAGTCTTGCTTCGATAAATATACTGATTCTTCTGGTCTGTCACTTCGGGTTTTAATTTCTATATTTGGGCTGTGAAGAATTTTGTGAGCTTTCTTCATACACTTACGTATTCACCTACTTTGCAGGCCTTGAAGAAACTAGCACAATTCTTGCAGAACAACGTACTTCCAGGAGCTGCGTTAGAGATTGGTCTTCTGTGTTCATTCGCAGTCTTCACGAATTCAGCAGAAGCTATTAGTCAGCTCCTTGTACCCATAATGAACTCTTTGGTTGCTTCCCTCGGCGACTTCCCTACTACAGGATTTGGTGGTGATGATGACTCGAGGATTGACTCATCCAGAGTGCAGGTCTGCAGAGTTATATTCATTGCTTTGTCCTTTAAGTCACCGGATCTAGAAATGCGGCGTCTTTTTCTCCTAATGGAGTTAGTTGTTTAAGTGTACTTAATCATAATCGTGTGCTCCTCTGGCAGGCTACACTTTCTCAAGCAGTAGAGACATCCGTGACATTTCAGCTCAATGTCTTGTCAGCAGCATTGATGTTTGCCGGGGAAAATGTTCTTCCCTACAAAGCCTTATTGGACAAAGTCATTTTTGCTTCCTTCAACGCTCCATCATCCAAGGTCGAATATAAACATTTTTGCCTAATTTGTTTAGCTTTTCTTCTTCTTCTATTATAGACTATGCGTGTGTCAGGTGTTACTGTTATGCAGGCATGAAGTCGATGTGGTATGGTGTAGGGTTCAATTGCTAATTTCTTGCTAAGAATTACGCTGTAGACATGAGTGACTTTAGCTTGCTAGTGTACTGGTTTGTAATTGACTTTGGCTCACAATACATACCTTAAGACACTGGTATCCTCATAGCTTTTTATATCTTTTTTGTTGGATCCATCACGTCTTGAGGCATGTCTTAAGGGAACTTATTATTTGCATCTTTCCTTCATATGTGTTGCTTTCCGTCATTGGTGTTGTATCTGCAGTTTGTATTTGATGTTCAATACAGCTGTCCGCATCCTTCTAGACGGCATGTTGCATGTTGCATGTGTCAGTGAAAGGCATCCTGTCAGTGTCCACTGTTTACAACTGACTTTGTAGTAATTGTCTATACCTGTCGAGAGATATGCATGAAATCTTGCTATTATTTATTTCCACCGCGATACCTTTCAGATTGACATTTACATTCGTCATACAAGTATGACTCAACAAGGGGTTCGAACATACTTGAAGCAAAGTCGTATGTGTAAAAGTTTTCAGCAAGATTCATCATCGTTTTCTTGTCATAATATCTTTCTTGACAGTATGTATTTATAGACTTGTTTGTCTGCTATCCTGTGTGATAGGTCAATGAAGCAGGAAACCGATTATTGAGCTCTCTGCTTGGTAGTCTGATATTTTATTATCCACTTGATCAATACAAGTACGTCACTTCTTCCTCTTTATATACCACAGCTAAGCAAACCTACCACGTCATTGTGTTATAAACATGATAGTCAATGGGTGTTGCCCAATTTTGGGATGAGCTGAGTATCCACTTGTTCCTACTTATTGATAATTGTTTGGACGTTTCGCAGTTCGTGTGTGAGACCACTGTCCTTAGGCACCTGAAGATGACCAGGGCCCATTGTCACCGAGTATTTTTATCCCGGAGAACATTAGAAGACCCTTTACAACCAGTATACCTGTAGACAATGCCTGCCTGACAGACTTAATTCTGTCAACTTTGCAGAGTAGCTGGAGCCCTAGCAGAGTAAGGTGTGTTGATTGACCACGCATATTCATTGTTGTGAGGTAATGCACTTCACTGGGTTCACAGAGACCTAGAGGCTTCACGATGTTCCACACCCTTATTGTGGGCACGCCTAGCTTCTCAACACGCATGTGATCGACCTAGGAAGTGGGTCTTCGATACAGTCAAGAAGGCATCTGTCCCAGTGGATGTCTTCCTTTCAGTTGTACCGCGTTTCACGCGGTTCCAGCATTGCAACATAGTGTTTGTAATTATCACGATCTTTGCATTATAATTGTTCAGGCATGCCCATTATCCCAGCAGCTTTGGAAATTACATTCACCTCGGAAGTTACGACGAACCCATAAGATTCTCACATCTGCTCTCTTGAGCAGGAGAACGAAAAGAATGTAGTCCTAAAGAGGTTTACCTCAACGGAATTAGATGTCGACGTTTAAGATCAAGGTATGCATATTAGAATATATTTAAAGATGGATACCCTGATCTTACCTTGACCTTGAGCCTGTCCACGGAATGATTAGATTCAGATCGTTTGAAATGTGTTAAGTAGTTGGCTTACATACGCCAAGCCAACTCTGTGAGATAGATTTGTCCATCCTGCAAGGCTTATCCTTTTTTCCGCGCAAGAGGGTCGGTGTAGTTTAAAAAATATGATCGATTTCAAGTATAGCCTGTGAATGCATATGTTATATGAAGGGTCCTGCGATCGGTTGCTTAAGATATGAATTTTCTGGCTGCTAGTCAGAAATATGTATTGTGTTGGCTGCTTCGAGTGGATAAGCCGTCACAGTCTTGAAAATCCTTGGTCAATACTTTTGATAGATAGGTGAAGTTATAAACTTCTGTTACTGAGATGCTTTTCAATGGAGTGAATTCTGCTCGCTGAATATCCTCATCCACGATTTTCTTCTGAAGTCAGCGCACTTGATACCTTCCAGGTTGAACTCAAGATTGGTGGATGGTGTGGAAGCTTGGATAAGTACTAAAATTTCCGCAGAAGATGGAGATGCTCCACATTGGCACATACCCAACAAAGAAGAGTTGTCTTATGCAAACGCCTTGTTGGATCAACATCTGCGTGGCGCTGTTTCTAGTCTGCGCGATGTCTGCAAGAGCAATCGCCAGGCAGAGTCTTCTGGAGGTGTGGACTGTCTTGCCTTCCAATTAATCATAAAGGGAAAAAAAACTTTAAAAAAAAAATTCAGATTCCTCCCTCTGCGAAGCTAGAATCTAAGCTTTTCGTAATTTTCGTAATGATTCAGTTTGGAGTGCGGTGTTTGCCAACAGTCTTCTTGAAGTGGAAAGAAAACTCTCTTCTAGTCACCGCACTCTGACTGTCGTGTCTGAAGTTTTGTACTAGCAACAAGAAATTTAACTTTGTTCTTGCAGGTCAGGTTCAGATAAAAGAGTATTTACGAGTACTCTTTCTTCGAATAGATGCAACCCTTCGTGGAGTAGGGTCTTGCTTACCTGATTTTGACTTGGCCCCTTCATCGGGAGCCTCTGGTTCAAAGGCGAAGAGACGACTAAATGTGCTAGGAGCATTCGGAGCTTCTGTTGGCGATAACAAGTTGAGGGAGGAGGCAGCTGATACTCTACATGCAGCCTGCGAGTAATATCCGATTAACGTCCATCATGTTGTGTCAAGTTTATTAGAACCTGGAGAATAATTGCTCTACACATCAATGGCTTCGTAGCTTTCGTGCGTTATTCTTCAGATGATCCTGGAGACGAAGTCTGTAGGGGAATTCACAGTTTCTAACATCGGCACTTTTATCTCACTAGTCTCAACCGAGAGTTTTGAATCACCTCTTGGTAGACTGTCTAGCATCTGAAGAAACTTCATTGTTATATCTTTACTTCCAGGTATCTCTTCAAGGAAAGGGCTGATGACACTGTGCTGCTAATGATGCTGATTCGCGTCATGGATTTAGTTGGCTTCAGTGGTAAGTAATTCCATTTCAACTTGAACGGATTATTTTCCTTTTTAGCGCTGTCTGCTTGATTGAATCGAAGAATCTGACTCAGGTGTTGTGATTTGGGCAGCAACGTTGGAGCATAACTTTTGGTCAAATGGTAAAAGGCTGCGTCATGCTGAGGCCAAGTGTCTCACAGAACCTAAAATGAATTTTATTACCAACCCTGATGCTAAGAACAAACGAAGGTATGCTTATAACTCTTATCTTCTAAAATTGTTTCTGAATTACACTTGGTATTCCTTGAAGTTTAGTCTCTATATGAACGTTGCCGACTTTTCAGATGAGTTTTCTGCCATACTTTACTACTGTATTTATCACCTTCTTGTTATCGATTTAAGTGCGCCGTCTTCAGTTTGTTCTTCGAAGGATTCGGCTTTTAACCTCATCTCTATGTCGGCTCTTTAGCGGTAACAGACAATCAATTGTGTACTACGATTTGCAGGCCTCGATGGCTGGTGGTAGATATGGTGTCGTTGCACAATGCGTGGCGTTCTTCTCGAGGATCCTTCCGACCTATATATGCTGGGCCTGATCTAGTACCTGTCTCAAAGCACCTTGCCTTGCTAGCCAAAGATTTACTGAAGTTGTCTTTGCACCGCTACGATGTCGTCCGCAAGTAAGAAAATCAGTTTGAACTGTGAATCAGTTTCTTACCATTCCAGCTCACGAGTTCTTGATTTATAAGTGGGAATCCTTTTCACTGTTGATGCTTTAAGCTTCCTAGAAGAGAAATGCCAACTTCCCTTTGATTCGCAGGTTTGCCATCAGCGCGCTTGGCAAGTCCTTGAAGCGGTTTCCGATCTTGGTGAAAGATTGTTTGCCGACCTTGACTGGAAGCTTAGAAGATTCAGCGGCACTTGAGGAATCAGCTCTGGGTGCATGCAAAGTCCTGATGTTGAGGCCAGTTTTGCGCCATCTCACACAGGTAAACGACGTTGGCGCTGTCGCTTGAAACTTTGGTTGACCTGTATAGTTGCAGGTGACCACGATGCGATGCCTAATAAACTATGCTAGAGCAAAGAATGCATGTGGGATATCCTTGGACTGGCTTACGTGTGCGATGTAATAGACTTTTGACTGTATACAGGGAGTTAGCGTCTATCAGGTTTAAAATTTATACTTCTTGAGCTAGTTTCCGCTACCAGCTATATTTTTCTATTGCGAAGCATGCTCATGCGAGGCTGCACCATACCGTCCTTTATGTTCACTACCTAGAGTGTGATCACAATCTTCAATTATACCCGACATTTGCTTATATCACTTTATTGATTTGAGTCATTTCTGTTGCGTTCGAGAGTTTCCTACTATGTTGACGGTTTGTGCTTGTGGTTTGTAGGACTGGAGTGCGTTATCGTCGTTCTTCCGATCCCTTTTAAAAAGGTTTGTATCTTATCTACCCAAGATGCGTTAATTTGTCCCTTCTCATGATCAATTTTTTGAGTTTACTGTGAGGTATATCTTGTGGATTGACTATATCGAGTAGAAGCGTATTACTGAACACATGCTTTTATGGGCCTGTTTGGCGGCTGCAGTGCACATCATGAATCCGTCAAAGCTCAAAGCGCAATAAATGAGGTTTGCTCTGCTGCTTGGAATTTGAGTACATGTAGATTGTATCAGTGAGGTCAGCTAGAATGCTTTTCCAAGTACTTGACGCAACCTTGCATCTCGTTCATTTGTCCTTTATTCACGAGGTGAATATATCAAAATGACCGAAAAATTGTCTTCTTTTCATCAAAAGGTTGCACTAAATTGTTTGAAATTTACCGTTTCTCCTTGAACAGCTCTTTGTAGTCTTCAGTGTTCGATTTGGAGGATTGCCAAGTCTTTCTAGTGCTACTAAGAATACAGATGCATCAACCTATAATGCACTTGTTGCACATATTAAAGGGATGCTCTCAGATGGTTCTGAAAACATACATTGGCGGTACGTAGCATTTACATTTCTTTCTTCATTGTCATTCTCACTTTCGGCTCTTTTTTCATAAGAAGTTGAAGTATATCAATTGCTCATCTAAGCACCGATAATGTTCTTCTACCCACTCGCATTCTTCCACCTATGCTAATGGATCTTAAAGATTGTAGACCACAAATATGGTTCAATTGAATTGCATTTTAGAAACAGTTTCCTCTTGATAGTTGCAAGAATTACCTTAAGACTTGCGTGTTGCCTTTGTTGAAACATTCACTGTAATCACTACTACTTGCAAGTACTATTTTCAGTACGCAGTATGCGAAAAGCTGAAATCTCGTGCCAGCTGCACCCTCTTCGTTTTGTTACCTTATACCTTTATGTCGCATATCTATGTTTCGAAGTCTACTTTGATTGTTTTTAACGTCAAGACATCAGGTTTATCCCAACATCCTACATACTGCTTTGCCTTTTGTTTCTTGTTTCTTTCCTTACTTATATATCTGTGACTGTAAGGGTCGTAGGTTCAGCTGGCAGTACACTTTCATATGATACGCTTCGGTTGAGTCTCATCAGTCAGAGGAACTTTTGCATTATTATCTTTAACAGAACCTCATCGATTGTGTTTGTTGGTTCTGCCAGCTACAATCTTATGGCGAATGGAATGCTCCTTCTTCTTTTGGTGCAGCCAGTTAGTGATGGATCCAAACCCAACCCAGTCTTGGAGTCTCGGATGATAATTGCCGGTATGGTCTGGAAGTTCATTAGTAAAGTGTAGCATCTTCCCAAATTCTTTTATCACTCACCCTCTCATTGCGGAACGAGCATGTTACCTCTGCTACACAGCAACAGTTCTGCTTCGTACCTTTTACGTACTTTTCCTGGGTTACTGACTTAGGTTCAAAACTTGACTCGCAATCTTGGTGAAAATTTCAGAGCAGTTTCTGTCCAATCTCAGCAGCGAGCTTCCTGCACTGCGGCCTCTATCGATAATCGCCTTGTTATGTTTGCTGCAAGCGTGGTCCCATGAGTCTCTGGTGGCAAAAGCACCCGAGGCTTTGAAAGCTAAGAAAGAACTGGGAAGCCTATCATTGAAAGATGTCCTTATTCCAATCATTCAGAAACAAGGATTTGGCGGGACAATAATCCAAAATCTTGCTTTTGATCACCACTATCCAGAAGGTTCTGGAAGAACTGGAAGATGGAATGGCAGTAGAACCACTGCTCGCATATCGGATTTAGGTCTTACTGATCTCATGCCTCCCTTCACTAGAGACTGGCCGCGAACAAGAACATGGGACTCAGGCATGAGAGGAGAGGCTTTTTCCGTTAATTCTGCAAAACTTTTCAAGCGGCTTGCTCGTGAGTGTGGCGAAGTTTTGGTAAACGCATTGCGGGGTCCGTTGGAAGAGGTGGCAAATCTACCGGAAGAGCGTGGAAAGCAGTGTGTAGCTGCCGAGATTATTGGTGGCTTGCTGCAGTCAGATGTGAAATGTGTCGTTGCAGCTTGGGATGATTGGCTGCGACCAACTCTGCAGAAGTGTCTGATGCAGGCAACTGTGGAATCAGGTCCGGAGTGGGCGGCTTGCATTCGGTTTTCATTGACTGGAAAAGGAGGAAGGGGAGAATCGTCACCTGTGTTGCGGTATGAAATCCTGGAATGCTTGGCAGAACCACTGCCGTCCACAGCATCAACTAGCCTCATAGCTAAGCGTCTGATGCTTCTTCGCGCAGCCCTTGTTGAGTACCGTCCGGTCCCGAGTCAAAGTAAGGAGGGTCTGCTTCATGCACATCTTCTGCGTGAAATGACGTCTTCCATGGCTCACGCAGCCCCACAGGTAAATGGAGAACTTCATGGTGCTTCCAAAGTTTAAACTCATCAGTTTTTGCCGGCTTGAAATCACTTGACATCGAAGCTTCAGCTCTGAGTCAAAGCTCACTTATTTTTTTAATACACTGCATTACAATCTATGGAGTTCAACTTTGCAACTAAAATTTGTAATACCCATGAAAACTAACTGAGATTTGAGATGTTTTAGGTGAGGGAGAATGTCGGAAGTCTCATGTGTGTACTTTTAGCCAATATTCGAGCTTCATCAGCGTTAGAAGAACAGGTTCGCGTTCAGATTTCTGATCGTATGGAGACGGAGAGTAACTTAGGTATCTCTTATCCGAGTATCACGGTTGATATGAACAAAGCTGCAGTAGGAAGGCCAGCGGAGACGGTCGCTAAACTTCAGTTTATAGCTGCATCACCAGCTGGATTCACTGCGCCTATGGATGTCGTTGCAAGTGGGGCAGGTGATGTGCTCATGGCCACAAGAGGTGCTTTGGAGAAAACTTTGGGTTCAGAGTTGAGTTTGGTGAAGACAGCTACTGTAGATGAGTTCAACAAGGTCTTGGTAGAGGAAACAAAGATCACTTCACTTAGGATCCAAAGCCTGGGAGGCCCTGCATTCGGCGGTTCAGAGGCGTCAACGAGTAACAGTGCTGATCAATTAGAGAATGGAAGTCAAGATATCAAGTGGATGGAGACGGTGAGTGATGTCTGAGATGGAAACGATTTTTCAGGTCATTAGTATTATGGTGAGCAGTTTAGAAGGAGCAGTTGCTTCTGGTCCTAACGTTTTGACACGCCTGAATATTAAGTGGCTCTGGAAGATGCGATCGAGACGTGATTAGTTGCCACCGCTCACATCCATTTGGCATGCGTTTTCTTTTATCCAGGTACTTTACTTCATTGTTGCTTGCCTAAAGTCCGGCAAAGCTGTCGACATGACGCCCACTTTGATAGGGCTACTGCATCCTCTTTTGTCACTGCAGGTATTGTCATTGTACCGTTGCTCATGTGAGAATTTCCTGTTCACCAAACATATTTGGTTCTAGCAGAAAGTCCATTTCAATTTTTGGTTGCAAGGCTGCATTATACTATTTGATGTATGTGTACATGCATTGTTAAAGGGTATCTTTTTGGCTGCATTGAGCTCATATAGAGCGTATTATACCCATTTCGTATTATACCCATTTTGCTCATCATCGTGATACGAAATCATCATCGTGCCCAGGAGACATCTGAGAAAGATCTTTCAGCACTGGCCAAGGGAACTTTGAGGTTGCTGAATTGGCACCCCATTCCTAGGGAAAACCTTCCTGCTGCTGTGAAAGCGGTGCTGGAGGCGGCTGCTGATACTAATTGGCACACACGCGTGGCAGCTCTTGTTTTCATACAGTCGTTCGTCTACAGGTATAGGTCTTCATCATCTTTAGTTTGAGTGTCTGTTTGCATTGAGTCTGTCAACCTATGATGGTCAACGTTCAGGTACTTTTGAACTCTTAAAATTTGCGAAGGTACTTATAGTCTTACCACCTGGTGCAGACACACGTACATACTATCAACGAAAGACAAAGAGTCTTTGTGGAATCGTGTGCGAGAGCTTCTTTCTGATCCTCAAGTTGAGGTAATGTAAATGCTGTAAGTTATTGGGTCATTAGTTGCTCTGTCGACAAGAAGTTTATAAAATTTCTAATCATGCAGTCACGTGCAGGTGAGGGAGGTAGCAGCTACAAATATTGCGGGCATGATGAAGGGTTCAGACAATGAATTTGCCCAAGCATTTCGTGAGCAGACAATGCGTGCGGCTTCGTCAATGCACAATGCTTCAAAAAGGAAGAGGTCTGATTTTTTTCCCTGAGGCTTCGCACCTGTGTTCAGACGGCAGTCAAATGACCTTATTTTAAGGACACCTCTTTTTTGTGGGACTAGTCTGTGGTATGCCAAAGATTTTGCGCTTGTTGAATCCCGGTCGCCATATTTTATAAAAGTTTCATCATCAGTTTGTCACCTATTTGAGTTTCCACTCATGAACTTGTGTATTCTGATGCAGGACAAGTGAGACAACACCTAAACCTGTATACACTGCTGCAGCCATCCATGGCAACGTGTTGGGGCTTGCTGCCTGTGTCTTGTCTGTACCTTATGACATGCCGACGTGAGTATCTGCTTTGTTTACTGGTTTGTCTTCTGATTTGTCTGGGTTTAGACTTGGAGGCTTACTGTTGCTCGTTACTTTCCATTTCCTCTTAAAAGTATCTACTGTCTTATGCTATCCTAAACTTGGCCTATTGTTTTTGTTTTTGCTAATTAAACTTAAGTTTGGTTTGTGATTGCGCGTCTTGTTGGGCCTGACTTTATTTGAACCCGAGCAGATGTGGATAATATAGATTGAGCACATTATGTGTCTCGTTTCCGTAAACATTAGAGTTGTCTGAACCATATTTTTTTGATCCTGGAATTGGTTGCAGGTGGCTGCCAGATACCGTCACTTTACTTGGGCGCTTTAGCGGGGAGTCTTCATTAATCAAAAGCACTGTCAAAAAAGTCATTTCTGAGTTTCGGCGTACGCATTCTGATACTTGGGCATATCAGAAAGACTCTTTCAGTGAAGAGCAGCTGGAAGTAAGTGCCCATAACAATCGCTCAAAAACGATTGTCATACTTTGATGGGATATGCTTTGAACGAAATCTGCAAGTTGTAATTTATGAGTGACAAGTTGCAAGTAACTATTATTAGCTGAAGTTTTTCGTCAAAACAGTGCACCTCCGAAGGTCACCCTTTGTAAGGCTGATCGCGCTTCACTATTTTTGAGTTGTTCAGGTGCTGATATTTGAATTGCTTCATTTTGCTGCAGGTCCTATCTGATCTGACTTCGTCTGCGTCATATTTTGCATAAACCCGGAAATTTATGGGCTGGACCAACATTCTAGGATCAACATGTATTATCCATGCCAATTTTGGTTTTAGCAATCACAAATTCATACACTTGAGTACAGAAGTCTCCATCTCCACCAGAGGCTGGCAGTTCTGGATGGTTGACACTAGGTTAGATTAGGAAATTTGAGAAGAGCTAGTCTTACATTTTTTACAAGGCATTTTGCTTATTGGACCGCCATCCCGCCGTACAGTGTTCCTTTGTGCTCCTCTATTGATGTGGCAATTGAACTTGCACGGTAGTTTCTGGGAGTGGTTTCATTTACCACCACCAGCAGGTTGGCGAGAAATAACTCGTTCGGTTTCTGTGACCAACGTGTTCCTCATTTTAAAGATTTGTTTCTTCTGTCCAATAGTTACTTGTAAAACCATGGCAATTGTGTTTTGGTGATTCATGAAGATCAGAAGAGAGGGTCTTGAGGCGTTTCACCACTATCACCGTATAATGACTTGAGGGTCCAGTTTTCGAAGAATCATGTTCTTCGAGGCAAAGACTGAAGTCAGACTTGTGCAGAAGTTTGTAAGAGAGCCCAATGGGATTCGATGGAGTACATTTATACAGCGCTCGCACTCTGCCACTTCGACACCGTGATATGCGCCGATGGGGCCTTGGTGTGTTCATGTTTGGTTCTTTTGGTAAGTCTTCCTTGACAGGAACATGGTGGATGATGTAGAAAGGATATAAGCTGGGTGTCCATAATACTCGAACTTCTTACTAGCACACAAGATTAACATACTTCTTGTTGTTACGCTGTGCGCAGCTCCGACAATCTTTTTCGGTTCTTCTCGTTTCAATGCATATGCTGCTTCGGTTCTCTTCCTCACGCTCGGCTCTGGGCAATGTCCTCTTTGTGAACTGCTTATCTCATGATATTGCAAGTAAAGTTAGAGTGTTAGAGCTGGAGGTCGTGAACACCTCCCTGAGTATGATTCGTATCCGAGGGATATAAATTCCCTAACAGAAACACTCATTCCATCGCCGGCACACCCAGTTAAGCCTGAAAATTATTTCATCGGTTTAGTATCCTTTACGGTGTCACATGTAAACATTTTTTCTTCCAAAACGAAGTCCACATCCAACTTATACACGCTTTTACTTTCTGACGAAAATTGAATATCAATGTTCCATGCTCTGTGGCTGCCAAACACTGCTCGTCTCTTGACAAATTTTATCAACAATGTCCTGCAGCTCTGATGGCATCAGTTAGACATCTGCATCTGCTAAATTAATACGTTAAAGTAGGAAGGACATTACAGTAGTATTCACAAAAATAGTAATGTTTATTCAGAAATGTTTATCCACCACGGAATATTCACCAGTCAGCATTAAGTTCCTAGTTTCATTAACTATCTGATCGCTCCTGGTTGCGGTAGTTTTGTTGCAGAGTTGTCCTTCAGAAGCACGCAGATGCAAGCAAATGACATACTTGAGTTTTTCTTCTTAATTACCCGAGTGGTTAAAACATAATCTACTTCACATCAGTTAAGTAATGACTACACTACACCAAATTACCGAGCCTAGCAGATAAACACAACAATGCAGGTAGTCGCGCACCCACTGGTAAATGCATTTCAGCTCAACCAGAGCTGCCACTGCGCACTTTGGAGTGCTACATCAGAATGGCAAGCTGGGACGGGATTCCTGGGAGACAGATGAACCCATTATCGAGCGACAGAAATAATAATTGAGAAAATTACATCGCTTCCTCCTTTCTAAAGGAAAAGGACAGAGAGTAGAATTTGAAGCTATGGAACCTTGTATTGGTTCATCCGAGATTTCTATGTTTAAATTTCTAGCCCTTAACTCAAGTAGAGTCCAAAGTGGTATCTTTACCGCCTCCAGAATCGTTCAGTCTGATTAAATGAGCGCAGGTTACAAACAGTTGGTAGATCCTAAACATACTCTTAGAATACTAATATTACGGAAGACTTGAGAACTGTATTAGTGTCCAAAGGAATGGACGCAGCTTAACAACCTGACTGATATCGAATCAGCGATTCCAACAACAATCAGCACACACGGGGCTTGCACTTATCGTTCTGTCGGAGCCAAATCCAATCTTCACAATTCCACCAGTGACAGAAGCAAACTAGTGAAGCAACATTTGAGGGACGTAGTAAACAACCTCCGCTACAGGACAAAAGATGACCTCGATCGACTCAAACTGTGGTGCAAGTTTCTACTGGCCTTTCTGACGAGCTCGTGATGTTGCTATTTCCCCGCCTCCTTGAAGACAGAAGGTTCTCAGCTTCCAACGCGCAGGGACACACGTAGACAAGACATACAAGCGTGGGTTGATTTACGGCTCCGGCGGCCGAAAGGACAGTACGTGGATGATGCTGACGTCCTCCAGACAGACAGACGTGCATCGAGCTGCCTGTCCTGCATGATATGATGTCTTCCTGGGCCGTCTCAATTCAATCAAACCAAATTTCCAGGCATTTTGTGCGGAAGAAGAGTAGAAACAGCTGCTGCTGTCAAAGACAAGCAAGCTCCACACGGCTGAGGATGGATCCGTGGCAAATATGCAGCTGCAGCATCCGTGCCTTTCCGAAATTGTTTCTCAAGCTAGAGTGTGCCCAATACAAGCAAGCTCCACACGGCTGAGGATGGATTCGTGGCCAATATGCAGCTGCAGCATCCATGCCTTCCCAAAATTGTTGCTTGACAGAGATGTTGTGGTTGCTGATCCTGGAAATATCTGATTCCTTCTCTGCCGGATCAGAGATTACAGTGCGTTTGGATTCTGTCGTTGTCGAGTTCATGCAGGAGAATTGCGTGGAGCCCAAATGCGAAGAAAGACCTGAGTAGATTCATTAGAGGCAGGTGCAAGGCTGGGTGGATATCTTGCCCGAGCTTCGTGCATGAAGCCCATGTGGTCCCATGCATGAGCGAATCATGAGATGGATTCCCAGCTTTGCGAGTCCACATCGTTCGCATCGCTAGCGAAGTCTCGGAGGCGGGATCTTTGATTCAGACTACACACAAAGTTAGTGAAAACAGTTCTCGGATGCAACGGATAAGCTCCGATGCGACATGTCTAAACTTCACGGCAGCCGAGGCGGTGCTCTCAGCACGTCCCATGGCGCTGCTACTCAGCCGCCAAAGCCGCTCCCGAATCCTCCATGCGCTGTCTTCCATCTCTGAGTCATGCCCGCCTTACTTGATGCGAACATGATTCCGGCTCTCATCTGCCTGCTGGTGCAATGAATGAATGAGGGCGAAGGCGAGGGACAAGTGTTCGAGGATAGAGGAATCCCAATGTCTCGTCTCTACATCCTCCGAAATCTGAGCATGGCCATGATTCACCGCCTGATGATTAACATTCAGTGTGAATCATCTGTTCATGCCTGACAAGTGGACCAATTGCCTAATTGTCAGGCGTTGCAGTAGGCATCAGAATCGAAGTATACAACTGTTGTCTCTCTGATTTTGGCATGAAGTTTCCCAAACAATTAAAACAACCGTCTGGCTTGCTAAGAAGGAGATCAGATGTTCTAGATCTTGGGCATGAATTAATCATGAGGGACTCGGCAATTATGTACGATGACCAAGCACGCCATCCTTCGTCGATACCATCTCCGAGGAGTGGGTGACTGATGCTAGCTTATGATCATCATCAGTCTCCCAGCGCAGCATCTCGAAGCTTTGAAAGGTCTCATTTATTTGCATGCACCCACCCATGGGACAATGAAGTGCATCAGATCGACGGCCTTCAAGTCCGAGTTTATACGAAACAAAAATGGATCTAATGAACAGTTACTATCTGCTCAAATCAGTTCAATACAGCCAGTAATGTGCACAGGCTAATCACATTTCCACCGTTCTTATCCAAGCTGCACGAACGGCGGAATACAGTGCTGGAGCTGCGGCTTTCTAGTAAAGTAAGAAGCAATGCAGCGGCGATGCAATTTGGCATGCCCTACTCGCACAACCACAAGGATGGATTTACAGCGACAGCCACCACACATGAAAGACATACAGAAAGACCCCGTTCAGAGTGAGTTACTTTATTTCAAAAAATGAGTCGATGAATTTACACATAATATATGACAACCGTAATCGAAGAGTGATGGGTATCGTCGTCTGACGACTCAGGGTGACAAATCGAGACCGCGTTGTATCAAAGTTGTAAATCGGCGATACCCAGTAAGTCCCCTTATCTAAGGGTGTTGTTCTGTCATACCCTTGAACGCTGCGGCAATCTGCTATGCATGGATCATCTGCAGTTCAGCTACTATCACTGCTCCGTGACATGATCGGAGCGGAAAGTACGTGAATTCACTCAGGTGCGCATTATATATCGACTACTTCTCATACTTCCAAAGGGAGTTAAGGAACTCCGTAGCGGTGATTGTGTAGTTCCGCCACCATCATCTAATGGTTTGCGAACCTGCTCAAACGTTTGCTGCGTGAATTGACTGGCCTCCTACTTCCAACGGCGGGTGGGTACAATGGTCGGACTATAATACAGGAAAGTGTAATTGAGCTCTTGTCCAGAAGGAAAAATGTAAGCCGGTGATGTGTTTCGTTCATCACCCCGGAGGCCGATCAGAACACGCAAGTGCTTCTCATCATCCTTTCGAATTCCTCGAAGTTGACCTGGCCGTCGCCATCAGAATCGACTCCACGAATCATGCGAGAGCAGTCCTCCATGGAGCTTTTCTCTCCGAGGCCTTTCAAGACTTGATGAAGTTCCTCGGCGGAGATGAAGTTGTTCTTGTCGATGTCGAACACGTTGAAGGCAGCTTTCAACTCCTTGGAGCGTGCTGCAGACCCGGCGCTGTCCACCTTCGTGTTGTGGAGGATGAATTCCTGCAGGTCGATGAACCCATCGCCATCCGTGTCCACGGCGTCCAACATGAGTTTCAGCTCTTCCTCGGAAGAAGCACATCCCAGCGAGCAGAGCACGGAGCCGAGTTCAGACGCCGAGATTTTGCCGTCCTGGTTCACATCGATGAGCTTGAAAGCATCTGACAGCTCTTGATGCTCCAGATGCCGCAGAGCTGCACCGCCCGGCGACGGAAGCGAGACGGGCCTCATCTCCGAGTTCTCGACGCGAGCAGCAGCAGCAGCAGGCACGTTCTTGCCATGCTCGACAGAAATCTCAGAAGAACGAGCAATCTCCGCAGAGTTCCTCGCGGGCGTCGACGATGCTGACGACGATCTCGAGCTTCCGGCCGAGGACGAGGAGCGCGACTTCTTGCCGCCGAAGAGCTTCGGGAGCTTCATTTTGCTCGACAAATCCACACGCCCACGATCAAATTTCAGATCGCTAACAAATGTTGCGGTCCCAATGAAATTCCCAACACCGATCGATCGAACTCTCTCGCGCTCGGATTGCAGAAGAGACCTGCTTGAGGGCGGACGACGATACGAAGGGCAGTGCCTGGCCCGGCCTTATACGGAGCTATGGCGATGGCGAAGGCGGTCCACCGCAATGCAGCAGCTGCCGCGAACGTTCACGACCGTCTCCTTTGCGTCCGGATTACTGCACTTTTGCGCCTCCTTCCTGGCAATTCACTACCTCCGACTCTGCCGTGTCCCTGCCTCTTCCGCGCCGCAAGCCCGGGCCGAGCACCTGCACGACGATGAGTTGCGGCGCCCTCTCTACGCGGTCGGCTTGCATGGCCAGGGGCCCCTTGCGGGCATATCATTTTAACCTCCTAGATTTTTCATTTATTTATAGCTTTAATTATTCTACCCAGGATGGATCCTTGTTGTTGGGTAGCTCTCGATTTGATAGTTAAAAATTAATAACTCTTATAATTTTATATTTTTAATCCCACTGTCACTGGGTACTCCGATCCTGTTTTGGGTAGCTCTTGATTTAATAGTTCAAGTCTTAATAGTCTTAATAGTCTAAAACTATTAAATATCTATAAGTATAAAACTCAATTCAAGTTCAAGTCTCAATTTTCCACGCCGATGGAAATAAGTAAAATCCACCGGTGAGATCAGATAGAGCAGTATTTGCAAAGGAAGGCTAGAATTAAACTCATAGTTTAATTCTTGCTTGAAGGTTGCAGAGATTACAAGATTCCCAGAAATGAGGTGTAGGCTAAATATAGCGGAGGAGCGTATGGATGAGACAGGGGTCAAGGGGTATTCGTTACAGTACGGAAGAAGAAGTACATGAAGGTCGCCATCTTGTGGTGGTTCCATGGGTGTGATCGTGGGACGGGACTGTCCGTCAGTCAGACGGGGACTGGACTGCGGCCATGGCGGACTGCAACCGCGTCCGCAAGTTTGCGTCCATGACCTTCGTCCCCCACGATCCGATGCGGTCGGCGCCGCTTTGGAACTTGCTCCGAAGCTCCGACCCTGAGCCCCCGGGCCCGTATTTGGAACGCCCCATCGTCGGTCCCATACCACGTTCCGAGAATTCCTTCGTCCTCTTGCGGTCCCCGTTTGTAGGTTCTTTATATTTAAACGGAGGTCGACGAATGGTTGGTAGGCTCAAGAGGGCCCAAAATCTATTCGCAGCGCATCATTTGGACTGTCTACGACGGCGATTGTCTTACTGTTGCGCGAGTTGGCATGCTTCCATGCGGCGGGTACGGTTGAAGTGGGCCATTTGACCTTTTTTGCTATATACGGTGGCCACAACTTGAACTGGTCTGGGTGCCTTGTCTATCTATCCTTTAAGGAAGCAGAGTTCATGAATCTTACAAATAAGTAGATATCTCTTTAAAACAACCAATTACTAATGGCATTTTATTACTGGAAATTGTGATTTAATTTCGCTTATAGCCTGTCGAGTCGGTAAAAAGCTTCAGCTCCAAATACGTATATATCAAGATACATATTATAAGCACATTCATGTCATGTAATCTAAACTTTCCCCCACCTTCCGGAACCAACTGCTTGTAACTGGCATGGATGTGTACTGCGGCTCATCAAGACCTCTCAAATTCATCTAGGATTGCGTTACCGTTTTCTCTTAACCTTGTACTTCCAAGAAAGTTTCAAGTATGGAAGTTCAAGCAACTTTTTCACTTCCGGTACAGTTGTTGAAACCAGTAAATGATCGTCATATGTGTACTCTAAGCGTTCTTATAGTCGCAGTTGAATACAATAAACAGATAGCGTGGGAGAAGTTGTAAATTATCTATATATGATCCTGCAAGTGCACACAGCTTATGAATTTAAAGTTACATTAGATTCTCATCTATATATTATTTAAAACCAACTTTGATGTGATACATGGATTAGGGAAATAAATTTTTCTGAAGCTCCATCCATACATGAAATCACATATATTTTTACTTAAACAAAGTTTTGAAATAGATTGTTAATCACTCGGAAAATAAATATATCAAAATTTTTTCAGTAAATATTAATAATCTTTGCATTTCGTGGTGAAAAAATCGAATAGAGGGAGAATCATAATCCACTTTTGCCGGCACCTACAAAGAGAATCTCGGTTGATTTTCTTTCTTCGAGCAACTTAGATGTTTATGTTGTGAAGCTCACAAGATGTAGGTGTATCTACATCAAGATACACATACATCTGTGTCCTGTTTGGATATATAATGAATGAGAGAACATATCTAAAAAATTTCACGAAAATTAATTTGAACTTTGTATATCACTGGCCAATGAAACATTTTATGTGAAAAATTTAATATAATACGATAAATCGATATCTATCTCTATTCTTGAAGGACAAAATTGACCAAAGGGTTTTCAAATGAACCAGAAAGATAGTAGCCACCGTGCGAAGATTAAACCCAGCTTGCACGCTGAATCAACAGGGATAGAGCCAAAGAAGGTACGAAGTCCCGAAAAACGAGCTCATCAACAATCGGAGAATCTGTTAATCGCTGAATATTTTAAATGGGATAGAAGAATATAAGGAATAAATGATCGGCCAAAAAAATGATTTTTTACCTGGAAAAAAATTTGAATTCAAAAACTTGTCTCTCAAATTTGTATATATTTTGGTTTGTTTTGGTCTAAGTAGACTATTCAGTTTTTAGTCTCTACACATGGAGAAATGACCAATCTTGATGCACGTTTTTCCTATTCATCAAGTTAATCTACATCAATAATCAACGCATTAATTATTGATACAAAAGATATCTTCATAAAATTTACAAAAACAATATATCGAACATTAAAAGTACCACATATAAAAAATTTCATAATCTTATCATCCCTTATAACTTATAGGCTATATGAGAACCTTGAAGGCTTTAACTTCAATTGACCAACAATACTGTCTTCAAATCGTTGGGAGAGACTTAATTGTAGAGTGTCATGACAGAGAGATTTGCTTGATGGGACCCCTGCGGAAAGTAATTTGCTTGATGGGACCCCTGAGGTTTAGTTTTACCCGATGGGACCCCAACGACAGTGTGCCGTCGGACATAGTTCTTGTAATTACGATTACTACTAGTTACAATGCGGGATTTCTGGTGGATTATCACGGGGACAAAGATCAATTTTGCTCGAAGTGCAATTTGTTGTGCTTCAATTCTTTCCACCGCAAAGATTCACGGATTTCTCTGTTGCCTCCCACCTGCACACTCCTTCCATAACCTTGCTCAAGTCTCACGATCACCCATTTGTGACGAACAAATAAACTCCGGATGAACATTTCTTTGCTCGTCTCCTTGGAGAGTGGCCGGATACAGAATGACAATATAAAAACAAGTGAGTGTGATGGAGTCCGAAGTCCACTCTGTCTGCGATTGCGGTGGACTCGTTGCACTCTCTCTAGTTGTTATTAGAACATGGGTGACGGTGCATCGTTCATGGGGTACCATCGGGTAAAATGAAACCTGAAGGGTTCCATCAAGCAAATTACTTTCCGCAGAGGTACCATCAATCAAATCTCTCTGTCATGACATCTGTAGGTATGGGTTCTGAAATCTCATGGCCACCGACTTGTACATGTTGGACAACTTGCATGCACACGTGGCAACAAATACAAGTACGCCCTAGGTACCCTAGCTCGGACGTTAGTGATCGACCTGAACTTTACAAGTTCTTTCCCACTTATTACGTTACTGGAGCGATGTTATGGAAATCGACTGGAGAAACGAGGAGTGCCGTCAAAACCCAAAAAATAATTGCTTAATAGGGAAAGCGAAGGCTAAGGAGCAAAAGGGGACTGCGGGTACAAAGGGAAAGTCGAGCGCGCGTTGTCGAGTTGCAGGTAAAGGAAAGAACAACGACCCACATGAAGTTCATACGTAGTAGACCGTATGTGTCCGGGAGCCCGATGCATGTACAGTATAGGCAAAGGCAAGCACACCGTATTATTAGTGCGAACAGGACGCCAAGGGGTTTGCGACAAAGATGCCGGTACGAGTCGGACGGAGGTCAGGGTCCCACAGACTCCGGTCCAGTCTCGCGGAGCGCCTATGGCTCTCTCGATCATGTCAACGCCCACGCGCTTCCCACAATTTTAGCCCGCGCCAACGTCCAAACGTCCGAAGGTCCAAAGGTCCAACGCTGTGGAGACTCGTGAATCTCTCGGAACCTTCATTCCCTTGAATGAAGGTCTCCTCCTTATCCCGTCTTTCATCGTTCTTGCTGCTGCTGGTTCACTCGCTCTTTCTGATCTGGGCCTTCCATCCATTGTTCGAGCAAGGACGGTGTGTCTGTGTGTATGTCTAACCTCGAAACTTTGTGCCTTTTCGAGAGCGCAAGATTCTCGTCTCACGAGTATCTTCTAGTTTTCCAGTTTTGAGAATTCTCGGTCAGGAAGGCTCAATCGGTTTCGATTGAGCTCGCGAGATGTGTGTTGGTGAGTCACGTACGTCTGCCAGGTTTTCCTCGATTTTTCCAGACATCGATTCGGCTCACCGTCTGTCCTGTGAACGTTCCGAAGAGGCTGCAATTGCTTGTTTGAATGTCTACCGGTGACAATGTTCGACTAACATATGGGAGTTTTGCTGTTTTGAACACTTTGCTGTGATTTTGGATGTGTTCGGGATAGTAAATCACGATTTTTTAACAGACTGGGTGAGGAAATTACGAGTCTGAGAGATGATTTGCATACTTTGGTTTTTTCTACGATTAATATCATTTCACGGAGGGTGAGTATGCTTCAAATCTGGAACCCTAGTCGTTCAGATCAAAGCGTTCTTGCTGTCAATACTGAAGTGTTCTTGCTCGATGATTGAATGGATGGACGAGAGTCGAAATGGACGTATTAAGTGGACATGTATATTAAGAGTAGAACGAATGGAATATTGGAGAGAAAGGTAGAGCTAAAGAGAATATCTGATCTTGGTCCTGCTTTGAAATCTTCCTGGTAATCAATGCGGCAAGCAGAGCCTGAGGAAACAGCATTGAACGAAGACTAACACAAGACGGATGACTTTAGCAAAGCTTACACATTTGTGCACGAGGTGGTGATGTTACCAAGTCCACCTCGAGTACATAATCAGGACACGTTTGGAATGAGCTCTAGCGGCTTCAGGATGGAATCTCGTGATATCTCGTCAAATGACTGGATTGACTTTGTCTTCCAATTTACTTCCCCAGATATAATGTTGTTGAAGGCATTAGGATGTGACTTGTTAAATGCGAATTGAACCTTTATGGAGTGAACTCGACCCAACTGAGTTGCAAACAAACTATATGCCGTTGCTGACGCAAAAGTCGCCACGGGAAGCTCGTCAGGCAGTGTAGTTTGTGCGCGTGTAGAGAACAGAGCTACTTTGTATAGACTAGGCCGTCTTACCGATTCAAATTACTTGAAAATTGTATGCCTAACGGGAGAAGCGGTCCAATGGTTGTATGAGGTAGTGATCGTGCCAAAAGGATGAACGTCGATTCTTGTACATGTAGTTCGGAATGTTTACACATGGTTTTTCTCGAGTGTAGAATGTACAGATGAATAAGTAATTTCAGATACTTTGAATTGGAGAATCGGGGAAATCTGGGAAGCGTTACCACAAGAAGGCTCTCATTAATGATGTCATCGTGCAAACATGACCTTACGACCAACACAGTTAGATTCTTGGAGAACTGCATATTCACTAAGTGGACCTGAATCTTTCAGAATATACAAATGCTGGACTTCAGGAGTAATGTGCATTTATCTGCTGTCAGTCGTTAGCTCCTACACGCGCGCCGTTTATTACCCGACACATTAAAACTGTAACCTTCGTTCGTGGAATATAAGGATGCCTCTCTATAAGGGCCGATTACTTATGTTCTGTATCTCAATAAAATATTGATAATTTTCAAAACAAAATACTTAACTCTCGAAAGTATGACTGCTGTATTTTGTTTTCAGAAAATTCTGTATTTCTAAAAAAAGGTCTTTGTTATCTAAGTATCTTTACAAGAGAAACTAACGTAGTCACTCTGGCTAAAACTTGGAGTTAACAGTTGTATTTCGTTTTAAGAAAATTCCCTATTGCCAAATCTTTGTTACTAGTTACAACTTGAAGTTCATTGTTTATGACAATATTCTTTGTTGATCTAGTTTGATACGAAAAGTTAGAGTTACTAAGTTACTCAACTCATCTCTCATGTTTTAGGCCGAATTTGACAGCAATGTAATATATCTGCAAGAGAGTATGTTATTTTTGATCTTTGAGTAGACTTTTCCCATTTCAGCACCGAGAAATCACTCTCCACACCGGTGTTCAAAAATGGTACTCCAAAAAACTGCATGAGTTGAAGGCTAGAACTTAGTTAATTCAACAAAATTTTTGTGAACCTAGAACATCGAGTTATTAAT